AAATAAGACTAACATCCTGTATTTCCAATTAGGCTGGTGGGACTGTCATCTTCCTTTGAAACTTCTGCTTATTTAAGACCTTCCTGTTTCTTATTTAACCATTTGCCTTGGTGCAACATGTTGTTATCTTCCAGTTCAGTGAGCTGGCCCCAGGTCTGAGGCATAATTTATCCAGTTGTTTTAAGGTCCAGATGCCCTGGTTTTAAAGAAAACCCAGGAAATTTAGGAATGCTTAGAATCCACTAACCTAAAGTGGATTCTCAATTTCCCCTTGCCAGTTGCTGAGAATCCATTTTAGGTTATTTTTGGTTATGTTAAGTTTGAGAAATATATTTGTCTTCCAAGTAAAGATACAAAGTTTAAATGAGACCGGGATTCAGGTACAAATCTGAGCTAGAGTGATATTTGGGAGCCACTAGATGATATTTAAAACCATTAAATTGAAAGAGATCTCTTTTAAAAAGGAGTACAGACATAACTGTATATCCTTTTGAGAAGATCCAAGACAAAATTGTTGGGAAATAATAATTTGTCACCCTCAAAATTGGAGGGGAGCGGGTCGAGCTTTCCTCCCCACCCCGACCGGGGCTCCGGCAGCCGAAGACCTCCAGGACCAGCCACCACCATGCTGAGACCACTCTCCGCACACATGAAGGTACTGGCAGAGGGACAAAGCCACGCGGGTTCCGGGGCCGAGACCTCCAAGCCTACTCGAATTGGAGTCGAGCATCTTCCACCCAGATCCTCCAAATTCCAGTAGGCGGGGGTCACACCCACCACCTGGCCCCCTGGCGCCATGTAATCCCATCAGCGGCCAAGACTCAGAGACTATAAAATCCAGATCCCGGAACATCTTATTATCTCATTCCTACTTTGGACAAACTTGCAGGCTATCGAATGTAGCCTGCCCACAGGGCAGAGTCTGGCAAACTCCCCGTGGCCTACCAAATATGCCAAATACCAGTAACAATGATGGGTCTCATTCTCCTAAAGAGCCGTGAATATAATCTCAGGGCTAGGATGAAAGAGACGTTACTGGGGCCTGCTCGAGGCAATCGACACCCTCAAAATATATGCTTCTTGAAAGGTTAATTTCATGACAGCAGGCCCTTTATACAGAATGGAGATTGCTTTTTAAAAAGATAATTTATGGGGCTAGAGTGATGGCACAGCAGGTAGGGCGTTTGCCCTGCACATGGCCAGCCTGAGTTCAATCCCCGGCATCTCATATGGTCCCCCAAGCACAGCCAGGAGTAATTCCTGAGTGCAGAGCCAGGAGTAACCCCTAAGCACCTCTGGGTGTGACCCAAAAAGAAAATAAAAGAAAAAAGAAAAGAAAAAGAAAAAAAAGAAAAAGATCATTTACATGTAAACCTTTCTTAGAGGTTCCAAAAATTATTAGGCCTATCACTCTCTGCTTTTCAGGAAAAGAAAAAGAAAAAAGTCACTCAGGGACCCTTGGAAATCTATCACCTTTAAGCTAACGATGTCCACAGTTGAAACCTAGGGTATTATTACCCCCTTGTTTTTTGGGGGGGTTATTTGGTTTTTTTTTGTTTTTTTCTTCTTTTGGGTCACACCCGGCAATGCTAAACTATCATTCCAGTTCCACTACCACCCCCTTGGATTGGTCCAACACCCCTAGGAGGTCCTATCACCCATCACTCACCTTGGGAATTGATACTTAAGGATTTTACCATCACTTGACCAGGACAGAAGGATCTCCTTAGGGAAATTTAAATCTGCAGACTTTACTTTGACTGTGTCTCCTTTGACAATCTTCCCAAATGACCTTTGCTTTCTACTTCCCAGTGTCCTCTGCATTAGCTAAGCTTATGTAAAAATGCTTCCTGAAACTACTTGGGTGAGTTTCTTTAGGTTTGCAGGGTCTTTTCCAAATGTACCAAAAAAAAAATGAGATGTTAATAATAAATTTCTCCTGAATGCTTATCTTAGAAAGAAAGAAAATGAGTACATATGGAAAAGACTCAAAATTGAGGGTCAAGATTAGGGTACCTTGGAGGCACTGTGCTCAGCACCAAAATGCCAATATACCATTATCCACTTGGCCCTCTCAACCTCTTGTAGCACAAACAGCAAGAATGGCTAGCTTCTGGTTTCTGGGTTCTTGTGATGGTGAGCCTCAAATCAAAAACCATAGAATAACAAGGCAAACATTTATAGACATTTGTCTAAATGGGTTAAACTTTTACCTATCAGAAAGGAACTATGTGACTGACAGAGCAAAATTCTCCAAAGTGGGTTTATCTCAAAAGTATCTTAGCTGGGTGAGGTAGCAAAGATAAAAGCAGTTACAGAATCCTCATTGGGATGGCGTTGTCAGGAAGACAATGCCTCCTGTCTTCCCAGAAGTAAAGAACTCATAAACCACTTATCCAGCCCCTCTCCTTAGTCCATGTAACTCAATATTTTTTTCTCTTTAAATTTATTTGTACGTTATAGTGCACTTCATAGTAAGCAAGTAACTTAATCTTTAAACTAAGTTTAATTGTATTTAACAAATAGTGATTGAGGATTCCCTTTTCTCTACATTCCCGTTAGCACTTGCTGCTTCGGGCCTTGATAATAGAGGCCATTTTCACTGGTGTGAGGTGATATTTGATTTTCATTTCCCTGACAATCAATGATGTTGAGCATTTTTCATCTACTTATTGGTCATCTTATTGTCTTCTTTGGTAAAAAATGGCTGTTTAGCTATTCTTTCTGTTTTTGATGGCGTTGTTTAGTTTTTTGTTGTTGTTACAGAACATTTTATGGTATGAATATTTTATATGCTAACTTTTTCAATGTATGGCGTGTAATTTATTCTCCCCTTGAATAGGATGTAATCTTTACTCTGTTTTGGGGGCCCACACTGGTGCTCAGGGTGTGTTCCTGACTCTGTACTTGAAAGTCACTCACTGCCAGCAATATTGGGGAGACATGTGGTCCTAGGATGAAACCCAGGCCTCCTACAAGCAAAGCATGTACTAGATTCGTTGAGCTATCGCTCCAGCTCCAGTATTTGTTTTTCAGTGATTTTTCCCCAGTGTCAGAAGATTTTTAAGGAGTGATAGCACAGCAGTAGGGCGTTTGCCTTGCGCGTAGCCGGCCCGGCAGAGCCTGGTTCAATTCCTCCACCCCTCTCGGAGAGCCCAGCAAGCTACCAAAAGTATCTCACCCGCACAGCAAAGCCTGGCAAGCTACCCATGACGTATTCAATATGCCAAAACACAGTAACAACAAGTCTCACGATGGAGATGTTACTGGGCCCACTTGAGCAAATCGATGAACAATGGGAGAACAGTGACAGTGATAATCCCATTACTTTTTTTACTTTTGTTTACTTTGTCAAGGGAGTCAAATCCCTGAAGAAATCACTGAAGCCAGTTTTCATGGAGTATTTTGCCTATTTTATTCAATGTACTTTATGGTTTCAGATCTAACATGTAAGACTTTTTTGAGTTAACTTTTGTGTATATTGTGAGATAATGATCCAGTTCAATTCTTTTACATGTGGCTATCCAGTTTTCCTAGCACCGTTTGTTGACAAGACTTTTCTCTCTATTCTTGAGTCTTTTGTTGTGAACTTTCTGTCCATAGTGGTCCAGGGGATAACTCCTTAGCTTAGAATGACTGCACCACAAGCATAAGGCCTCAAGTTAAATCACTGGTTCTGCCATATGCACAGGGAGCAATCCTGGAAACGCAGCTATCTGTGATCCCTGGTAGCTACAGAGTGATTTCTAACCACAGCACACTTGTGTTTAAGCATTAAAGGGTGTTGCCTATAGTGGTTCCACATAGTTAATAGATGTGCAACTCCTCCGCTCTAAGAAAGCACAACCCCTGGTGAGCACAGATGTAAGTCCTACATCTGTGTCTGGAGTACTACAACCAGAATATATATGAGTGCACAACTTAAAGTGTGTCTCCTGACAGGCACCACAACCTGATGTGTGACTCTCCTGTAAGCAAAACTAAAATTGCAAGTGCTACATAAGTGTTTGTGACCCCCTAGACAACACAACAATAGCAACAAAGGAAAGGGGAGAGATGGCGGGAAAATAAATAAATTTCCCTTTCCATTTTTTTTGGGGGGTTACACCCAGTGATACCAGGGATTACTCCTGGCTCTGCGCTTGGGAATTATTCCTGGTGGTGCTTGGGAGACCATATGGGATGCCGGGGATGGAACCTGGGTCGACTGTGTGCAAGGCAAACACCCTACCCACTGTACTATCACTCTGGCCACAATTTTCCATTTTTATAAGGTTTTCTTTCTTGACTGTCTTTTCTGTTCTGTTCTGTTCTGTTCTATTTTATTCTATACCCCACTCCCTATTTGTGTTTTATCACAAATAGTAAAGTCGACAATCAGTTTCTAGAAGTGAAAAGGGAAGGTCAGGTTCAAGGATGTTCCTTACACTAGAAACTGAAGACTTGTGCAAAATCCTTTCCCACCTCCTCCTCTCTACTACAAACTACTTTCCAGTTCTTCTTACACCTAGGTGTCATTTATGATTTAGATGGCGGAGAAATTTTAATACAGAATCGAACTAAGTTTGGGAGGGAAGCCAGGGCATATGTCATCCATTTTGCTGGAAGGGTTATACCAGAGGCTATGTACTTTTGTAGCTGTTTTTGGCAGTGTCATCTCAGTTGGCCAGACAGTACAGAGCCTGGGTACTCAGCATTAAGTGTTTCTGTTTGCAGTTTCTCTAATTATTTTTAATCCACTTACTATGCCATAATTATTATTTTTCTCATATTAAATAAATTTTGATCTCTGTACTAGTATAAAGTCTAACTAGTATAAATTCCTTTGGTGAGTCTGCTATGCTATGTTTGTGATATTGTTGCATGTATATACTCATGAGAAGGGGATATATATGTACTTGTATGTGTATATAATGTGTGTATGCGTGCTCAGGATATGGAGAGATTGTGCAGGGGCCCTGGAGTGCATTCATGGACATTTATGGTATGTGTCCCAATAGAAGAAGATGAAGAGGGAAACACAAACACAGAATTCCTGATGCTCAAGTTCCAGAGCCAGCTCAGGGACACTGTGAGTATATTCTGTGGACCGGATGTAGGACTTGTGTTTCCCTGGAAGACTCACACAAGTGCTGATGTTCTGGAGGTCCGTGGGCACAGGCTTCGTGGCCAGTATTTGCCTACTAATTATAACCAACTGAAAGACGACCTCAACAACAACCCTCAGATAAAGCAAGCACTGAATATACAACAGTCCCTCCTGCAGGTGAGAATAGAGATTTAATGAGTGGGGTGGTGTCCTCTAGTTCTCAGCTAAGCTGCCCACATCTGCTCTAAGCACTATGTTTTCTCCTAGGACATGCTGTGTGAGGTGCAGGAATTTTGCAGGGAACATCACTGGATGATAAGAATTTATAAGTTCCTGAAAAACTGGGGGCCTCGGAAACTAGCGTCTATGAAGGGTTGTCCTATTAAAAACTATGTGACCTTGGTGGACCATCTCAAGTTTTGGCATATCCGAATCTCCAAAATGCCTTCTCAGAAGATCACAAAAGGGAAGTTGCTGCTGTTGAATTGCCATGATATAAAGGCAGAGCTAGGTGAGTTGCTGCTTGCTTTACCAACATTCCTAATGCTTTCCTTATCAGTGTGGCCCTCGTTGGGCCTGAAATTTCTCAAGGAAACTCCAGAGTTTCCCAAAGACTCAGGTTCCAGTCTCTTCCCTTTGTGATGAAAGAGATGATTGTCATAGGGGCTGGAGCGGTAACACAGCAGGTAGGGTGTTTGCCTTGCATGTGGCCGACCCGGGTTCAATTCCCAGCATTCCATATGATCCCCTGAGCACCGCCACGAGTAATTCCTGAGTGCATGAGCTAAGAATAATCCTGTGTATATCCTTGATATCAACCCCTTGTCAGATGTGTATTCGGCGAATATACTTTCCCATTATGTAGACTGTCTTTGTATTTTGGTCACTGTTTCTTTGGAGGTGCAGAAGCTTCTTAGTTTAAGATAGTCCCATTTGTCTATCTCTGTTTTCACTTGGTCGGCCAGTGGCGTGGCATCTTTGAAGATACCATTAGCTTCAATGTCATGGAGGGTTTTGCCAACTTTGTCTTCAATGTACCTTATGCTTTCTGGTCTGATGTTGAGGTCTTTAATCCATTTTGATCTTACTTTTGTACACGGTGTTAGGCAGAGTTTTGAACCCATTTTTTTGCATGTAGCCGTCCAGTGATGCCAGCACAATTTGTTAAAGAGGCTTTCCTTACTCCACTTCACATTTCTTGCACCTTTATCAAAGATTAGATGATCATATGATTGAGGGGAGATGTCAGTGTATTCAACCCTGTTCCATTGGTCTGCAGCTCTGCCTTTGTTCCAGTACCATGCTGTTTTAATTATTACTGCTTTGTAGTAGAGCTTGAAGTTAGGGAGGTTGATTCCTCCCATTTTCTTTTTCCCAAGAATTGCTTTAGCTATTCGTGGGGGCTTATTGTTCCATATAAATTTCAGGAGTGTTTGCTCCATTTCTTTGAAGAATGTCATGGGTATCCTTATAGGGATTGCATTGAATTTATACAATGCTTTCGGTAGTGTTGCCATTTTGACAATGTTAAGTCTCCCGACCCATGAGCAGGGGATATGAAGAAAACATCCAACCCCATCCAAAAATGGGGCAATGAAATGAACAGAAACTTTCTCAAAGAAGAAATCCGAATGGCAAAAAAGCACATGAGAAAATGCTCTACATCATTAAGCATCAAGGAGATGCAGATCAAAACCACAATGAGATACCATCTCACACCTCAGAGACTGGCCCACATTCAAAAGAACAAAAGCATCCGATGCTGGCGCGGATGTGGCAAGAAAGGGACACTCCTTCACTGTTGGTGGGAATGTCGACTGGTTCAGCCCTTCTGGAAAACAGTATGGACAATTCTCAAAAAATTAGAAATTGAGCTCCCATTTGACCCAGCAATAGCACTCCTGGGAATATATCCCAGAGAGGCAAAAATGTATAGTTGAAGTGACATCTGCACTTGTTTGTTCATTGCAGCACTCTTTACAATAGCCAGAAACTGGAAGAAACCTGAATGCCCAAGAACAGATGACTGGTTAAAGAAACTTTGGTACATCTACACAATGGAGTATTATGTAGCTGTTAGAAAAGATGAAGTCATAAAATTTACATGCAAGTGGTACAACATGGAAAGTATCATGCTAAGTGAAATGAGTCAGAAAGAGAGGGATAGACATAGAAAGATTGCATTCATCTGGGGGATATAAAGTAACAAAATATGAGATTAATACCCAAGAATAGCTGAGATCAGCACCAGGAGGATTACTCCATAGCTTAGAGGCCAGCCGGGCATTCTAGGGGAAAGGGCAGCTCAGATAGAGAAGGGAGCACCAAATAAAGTGTGTTTGGAGGATCCTCCTAGGAGGGGAGATGCATATTGAAAGTAGACTATGCACTGAACATGTTTGCCACTCAGTGCCTCTTTTGCAGACCACAACACCCAAAAGGAGAGAGAGAACAAAAGGGAATGCCCTGCCACAGAGGCAGGGTGGGATGGGGGGATGGGGGTGGGAGGGATATTATCCATGGTGGTGGAAAATGGGCACTGATGGAGGGATGGGTATTTCATCATTGTATAATTGAAACCCAAGCACAAAAAACTGTAAATCTACAACTGTACTTCATGGTGTTTCACTAATAAAAAGAAAAAAATGTAAAGAAAAAGAATAATCCTGTGTGTAGCCGGGTGTGACTCAAAAAGCAAAAAAAAAAAAAAAAAAAAGGAAAAGAAATGATTGTCATAAAGTGTCCCCATTTTCCATAACTGTCTTTCCCCAAAATGAGCCCACATAAAAATGTGTTCAGGATTATTCCTCTTGTCCCTATCCCCATTTTTGGGGAAGGGATGATATTATTTCTTCTTTGAAAACTTTGCTGAATTCACTGGGAGAGCACTTTTATTTATTTATTTAATTAAATTTATTTATTTGTTTTGAATACCCATCCCTCCACCAGTAACCATTTCCCATCACCACGGATCCCAGTAACCCTCCCACCCCCCATTCCATCCCCATCCCACCCTGCCTCTGTGGCAGAGCATTCCCTTTTGTTCTCTCTTTCCTATTCGGTGTTGTGGTTTGTAAAAGAGTTAGGCCTGATTTTCAGGGAAAAATGTTGAGAATTTACTTTCCATTGACCACTTTATATATAAGAAGACGTCGTGCGGTTTGGAGTAAGAGTCCTGGTTCCTGCATAAGCGAGCTATGCTTGTACAGGCTCATGGTCACCGGGGTTCCCTCTGGAGGAGGCAGGATGTGGCACCTACCCCATCTGGAACTTCCTGGTGATCTCGGCTCTCTTTGGGACCGGGAGCATTCTCGGTAGCTGTGGAGGCCCCCGCGCGGCCTTTCTTCTCTGTGGCTGTGTGCTGTAAAGATTGGGAGAGCACTTTTAATTAAAGCAAACACTTTTGCTCTGATTTGGTCTCTCTGAAATGTTTGATTCAAAATTCTTCTTTTAAACTTTATTTAAACACTCTGGTTTACAAAGTTGTTCATAATACTGTTGTTTTGGGCATTGAATGTTCCAACACCAACCCCTCCACCAATGTGACCTTTCCTCCACCATTATCCGCAGTTCCCTCCCACCCCTCACCAACTTGCTCCCTTTGGAAGCACAAAATAATTTATTTTTTTATTGCTTGTTACAATAAAATGGTAAGTGAATTTTCAAAAAATTAGCTTCTTAAACAAAAATTTCTGAAATTATATCTCACAGTAGGGTTATTAAAGTTAATGGGAATTTACTGAGCTGTTTTTTGCTTTTTTTGTTTTTGACTCTTCTGTCTTAATGTTTTTGCTTATTGATCTTAGTTGCTTATTGGCTTCAATGTTGCTTTCTCATCTAATTTGCTGTGCTCCTACTGGGTTGTCAGTACTGTGGAATTTCAAGGTGTTGTGCAGCCACTCTGTGGCTTTGGGCTTCAGGAGCTCGAGGATCTGTAGAACTGGAATGATTATTGGCCAGCTCCCTTCCGAGGAGGCCCCAGAGTTTTCAGCCCAAAGACCAGTGTACCTGTGACTTTCATCAGCTCAGCATCTCTTTCGAGAGTAGTCATGAATCTGTAAAGCTGGGCCATTTACATGGCTGTGGCTGTGGAGTGTAGGTGTGGATTCTGGCAGTGTGGGGAGGTGGAGGGAGACTGCTTGCTCCCACTATAAGAAGGCACCAGAGTTTTCAAGTCTTCCACCAGAAGACTGCTGTGCCTGGAAATTTTTGTCAATTTTGATATCTCTTCTGGGAACAGTTGTAAAGCAGTGAAGCTGGGCCATTTGTGTGGTGGCAACTGTGGGGTGTGGATGTAGCTTCCCGGTCTCTAGCAGGGTAGGGTCCCAGAGCTTTCAGCCAGAAGACTGGTGAATCAGTGAGTTTCATCTGCTTGGCATTTCTTCCAAGATTAATTGCAAACTTGTGAAGCTGGGTCATTTACAAGGTGGTGACTCTGATTCAAAATTTTTATTCCAGTCATTGCTTGATTTTATTACCAAGTATACTCTGCTCCTCCCCCCACCCCAATATGACATTAGATAAGTATTCTGGGCTATATCCTCTTCTTTGCTAGCATCAATCGACCCTTGATGAGGTTTAGAGCATCCTAAAACTCCACGGATCCCAGAGAACCTTTGCTGACTTGGCCCTGCATTGGCTCCTGCTGGCATTGGAGATTCATGGGATGTTTGTGAACTCTTTATCATTCACTGGACTTGAGGACTCTGATTGTAGGCTCTCTTCCTCCTGGTCCCCGGAACCAGGGTCTATAAGCTATCAACTATCTACTATATTTTGTATTTTCTGCTATTTGGGATGTATTTGGAACTGGGTAATAACAGATTTGGCCCTCTTTCTGCCACAATAACAGTCATTCTACTTTCCTATGATTGTCTGTATAATTACACCACTACAAGGTGGTGTCTTCCCAGCACAACCACACAAAAAGTGAGATCTCAGCCCTTTCTGTTATTTCCTCCTCAGCGCACTTGGTTCTTGCCATAAACTACTCTTATTAGGTCCAGGCCTAGTTGCTGGTTTCCTTAGATCTCTGAGACATTTTATGACCTGATTTTGTTCATCTTTTCTTCTTTACCTTAAGAAGGATATTTCACATTATATTGTTTAGTAGCCAATTGCCTCTACCTATGAATTGGCCTTGGAAAGTCTTGCATTGGTAAAATGAGAAACCAGTGATCTATTCTTCTAGGTAATAGAGATGTTGTTCTATTTTCTCACATAGCCCTCAAGGATGACAGTGAACAGTTGTGGACATTTCTGTGGAGACTAAATTGTATGCCTCCTAGTCCCCCACCCCCAAACATACTGCATGCCTGCTTTATAAAAAATTATTGAAGAATTGTGATTTGCAAAGTTATTGGTAGTTGAGTTTTAGGCATATAATATTTCAATACCAATCCCACCACCAGTGTCAACTTCCCTCTGCCATTGTTTCCATTTCCACATCCCCACCTGTCAACTTGACAGGATATTATTACTTAATAAATTTAGGCAGCTTTGTAGCTGGCACCTGAAACAACTTACTTGAAAGTTCTTGTCTGTTCAGCCTTCACACAGCCCTCATTAAGTAACTTATGAACCATAAAATGCCCCAATCTCTCCTTCACACTTCTCTCCTAAAGGGATAGAAGGTTCATGCTGTCCAAACAGTAACAGGAAGGGCTTATGCTTGCTTGGTTTTCATCTGACTCTGTTGTAGGAAGACTTGTGATTCGTAACTGTGCAGAAAATATATGTTCTTTTTTATTTGTTAGCTCTTGATTGTTAGTCCAGGATCAACTGATCTCTTCAAGAGCAACACATGGTAAGAAAAAAGCTATAGGGTTCAGAATCTTGGCTCTGCTAGTCACCAATTATATAACTTCAGATCACTGAGATTCTGCTTATATATATCCTGGGCATAATAATGTCACTCACAGTGGTGTAATAACGAGTATTAAATAAGATATACTAACATAGTGTATGACATACAGTAGGCACTTAATTGTTTTGCTTTGTAGAACATTTGACTTACATGTATAAGGCTCTGGATTGAATCCCACACACTGTAAAAAATATAAATAAAAGAATTTTCTCACTTTATACCCTTCTAATAATCCACATTCTTTTTTCTGATCTAATACTATTTATCTTATCCCTCAAGTCGTTTCTTCTTCTACCTGGGCTCCCTTTAACAATGAATAGCATAATAATTCAGTCTGCTGAGTTGGGCTCACCATAATTTTGAATTAATTCTTTCCTCGTACCTCTTTCTAACTTCACTATATCTAAGCAAATGCCAAGTTCTTTTTATTCTTCCCCCTAAATTTCTCTCAAATCTGTTTTCCCACCCATCTCCAAAATCCCACCCCAAGGAGCCTTGGTGCTTCATAAATCCATTGCTCCTTTATGCCACACAGTGTCGCTGTAGAGCTCCTCTGGGCCTTCATCTCTGACATGATGCTTGACACCACTGTAGTGGCCTAGCTTCTGGCATAGGCTGAGGAGAAAGTCTGAAAAAGGAAGAGTTCATATCTTTGTATTCTGTTTAACCTTGATAGGTTTCCTCGGTAATTTTTTGGGGGAAGGGGGTATACTTGGCAATGCTCAGGAGTAACTCCTGGCTCTGCGCTCAAAAATTACTCCTGGCAAGCAGCTCAGGGACTATATAGGATGCTAGGAATTGAACCCAGGTCAGCCACATGCAAAGCAAGTGCCCTATCTACTATTTTTTCGGCCCTGGTTCTGCTGCAAAAGTGCCATCTTTTCTATATCTCAATTACTTTCTCTCAATAACTTTACCCCCTGATTCATTATCCTACTTTTTGGTTGCAGAGACCTTATAAGACACTTAAATAAATTTACTTTATAGTCCTCAAACATAAAATATGAGAGTGGAATTCAGCTTCCCAAATTTGAATCTTTCTCTGCCACTATGTGATACTGATAAAATTATTAGCCTCTCTGAGCCTCCGTTTGCTTATCTATAAAACAGAAAGTAATAGTACTCACATCAAAGTGGGTTGATGAAGGCAAAGTTTCTGATTCATCTGTCTGACATAATAATGTTACCTATTATAATCCATAGAATACTATACAACATGGGTCTGGAGAGATAGCATAGCGGGTAGAACATTTGTCTTGCACGCGGCCAACCCGAGTTCGATTCCTGGCATTCCATTTGGTCCCCTGAGCACCTCCAGGAGTGATACCTGAGTGCAAAGCCAGGAGTAACCCCTGAGCATTTCTGGGTGTGACCCAAAAAAAGCAAAAAAAAAAAAAAACCAACTATACACCATATTTCTAAAGGTTGGAGTGCTAGCACAGCACATAGGGTGCTTGCCTTGCACGCAGCTGACCTGGGCTGACCCCAGTTTGATTCCTCCGCCCCTCTCGGAGAGCCAGACAAGCTACTAAGAGTATCGTGCTCGCACCACAATGCCTGGCAAGCTAACCGTGATGTATTCGATATGCCAAAAACAGTAACAAGTCTCACAATGGAGACATTACTAGTTCCCACTTGAACAAATCAATGAAGAACAGGAGGACAGTGACAGTGACAATGATGGATATCATATCACGCTTTAGATGCCATCATGTTTTTCCTTTAATGGTAGTAACCCTACATTCATCGGTATCTTAATTTTGATAAATTATTGTGTTATTATCTTTTCCCTCAGAGACAGTGATATTATTTGTACTGCCAAATGCAACTTCTGAGAGTTTTCTTTTAGCTCCACATTTACCTGAAACTTTCTTCCCATTAATCTTCAAAACCAAAAATTTATGACATACTCATAGGTATGTTTGGTGCCAGAGAAAGGAGGTGAGACTGTTCCAACAAAAAACTCTCATCTGTGATAGGACATTGTGCTACTCATCAACATTTCATTCTCAAGCCTTTGTACATGCTACTGCTTCTATGTGGCTTGCTTTTGTCCCTTGGAACACACTCAATTCCAATGCCTTTTGTGGAGATTTTCTTAGCCTCCTTGGGCCATGTCTTCCTTCATTAGGCCTAACTGCAGAGCACTTATCACACTCGTTTGTGGTTATACATGTTTGTCTCTATCTTTGTCATCCCTTTGTGAACTTTCTGTCTCAATTCTGTTTTTTTTGTGGGGGGGGGGGGATCACACCCGGCGTTGCACAAGGCTCATGCACTCAGAAATTACTCCTGGTGGTGCTCAGGGGACCATACGGGATGCTGGGAATCAAACCTGGGTCGACCGCATGCAAGGCAAACGCCCTACCCTCTGTGCTATCACTCCAGGCCCTCTGTCTCAACTCTTGTTCTAGAACTCGGCACAATCCCCAAATGTATAGCAGCTGACTAAACTCAAAGCATAAGAGCAGCAAGGGTGGAGTGAGTGAGGAAATGAACTCCCTGCTCAGCTTCCCCCCATTCCCTCTCTGAGCAGCACTCTTTATTTGTGCACTCCCTAAAATCTAATGTTCTCTCGTCTATAGAATCCAAGATTAAGAGCATCTGGAAAGACATTCTTCAACAGGTGCAGAATGAGTGCAAAACTCGCAGCAAGCAACTCATGAGAGAACTCACAAGATACATGGAGACCTTCCAAAACATCAGTGACGACATTTACAACATTGCACGCTGCTCTCAGAAGGTGGGCTCTCCCCAGTATTCCAAACCGACTTACCCAGGACCCTTCTCTATCAGATGCTGCACACTCAGGTCTCTGCTGAGCCCCCAGTGGGGTTGTATATCCTTAACATGTGTCCACAATCATATCTGCCCTCAATACTCTCACCCTTTCATGTGGTTCTCTGTTCTCTTGATGACTGGAGGCAGCCCTGGTGTGATGAGATAGATGTTATCAGTGACAATCAGACAGGGACCTGTCATGGTCACGATTGAATGGGAACTGTTCCCAGAGAAACCTGGATTGGCTGGGGATCTAATCCAAACTTATGTTTAGTTTCTTAGAAGTGATCCGAATGGCTTTAGAGTGTCCAGGGAATGGGAGTGCCTCTCTAGGGTGGGCTCAAAGAGGTACGCAGGGTTGTGGGGGTGCTGGTCTCATGCTGTAGCCCCTGCAGCTTAATGAAGCCAGTGAGCATTACTCGGAACTGGAGGAGCGAATGGAATATATACGGTCACTTCACGAACTCATCCGCAACCACTTTAACTTTTACAATGCTGAGACCGAGGCACTGGACATCTTGGTGAGAAAGAAATTTGCGGTGTCACCTATCCCTCCCTGAACCCTTGCGGACCGTCACACCTGCTTGATTGTCCTCTGCTTGCCTTGCAGCTGCTGGATATGTGGGAGGCATTTCAGTTTGAGAAAAGCCAGACCTCAGAGCTCCTGCTCAGCCATCGCCACGCCATTGTTCCCAAACTGCAACAGCGGATGGCCGCAGCATTGGCAGAGCTGGAATGCATAATCCAGAAGGCCCTCTCTGATCCCTTCATGGACCCTCTGCAAGATCTGAGGGGTACTGAGCAACAGCTCATCACCATGGAGCTTCAGTACCAGAACACAGCCAGCCACCTCACTGAACTGCACCAAGCCTATGTCGCCATCACCGGTACTGAGGGTCTTTGTCCCCTCCACACCCCCCTGTGATAATCCCCCAACTGAAGTATTGGCTGGGATGCAAAAGCTTGTAACCCAGGTGGCCCTGGGCCAATCTTGGGGATCACAAACTTTCACTGCTCTCTTCTATTTTATTTTGAATTTTTTTAAAGTTTAATTTTATTTTTACAAAGTTGTTCACAATAATTTATTACACTTAATATTCCAACACCAATGCCGCCACCATTACACAATTCCACCACCTTATTTCAAATGTTTCCACCCCACCGCCCAAAGCCTGTCCCCAGAGCAGGACCTAAATAATTTATTCTGCATTGCTTGTTATGAATAATCTGCTAAAATGACAATTATCTTTTCTATAAATGATCATTTCAGGGCAATATCATTATCATACATTGCATACACGAGGTGTGTGCAGATACAGAGGGCTTATGGTCTGATTGGAAAGACAAATAGGTGAATGCTCCTTAGAATATAAGGGCGCCAGAGGGCTAAAACCTGTGCAGGAATGTTTTAAATTGTCCTGAATGTATGTACTTAGCCTTTGCATAGTTCCACCTACTTCATCAGTGCCCAGATTAAAACAAGTCTTGATGCTACTGTGTTGAACAGATATGGAGTGAAGAGGCAGCTGGTAAGGGCTTTTCTTACCCATAGGAGGAAAGATTAGACTAGAGCTACCATTCAACTATTCTTTATTTGGGGGGGGGATGGATGCTCAAAGGTTACTCCTGGCTCTGTACTCAGGGGTTACTCCTGGCAGGGCCCAGGGGATCGTATGGGATGCTGAGGATTGAACCCGGGTTGGCCGCGTGCAAGGCAAATGCCCTCCCCACTGTACTATCACTCTGGCCCCACTCAGCTATTCTACACGTTGGTGCAAATAGGCTGGTTCCCTTCATATGGACTGATTTTTTTAGACTCACTTTTTTCTCAGATGAAGTTACTTCTGTTGGTCCCTTGATTCTGAGCTGCCTCTTGACTAACTACCAACTCGTAACATCTCCCTGTCTGTGGGCATCCCCAACTCCATGCTATTGTTCAAATGTAAGACAGAGGACATTCTGGGACTATACAGACTCATTCGTCTAGTGTTGGGAGACATTATCCAGATGCTAATGGCCCACAGATGTCACAGACTTTGCGTCTCCTGCTGGGGAAAAAAGGGTGTTTGTGAAAAAGCAGAGCAAAGGGTTTAGCTCAGTCTTGTGATTTTGGACACTGGAAACACGATTATTTTTATTCCCTCTCTCATCCCTTTCCCCTCATCTAGTTCCCAGTTTTTTTAAAAAAATAATTTAGTGTTTTAGATTCACATTACCAATACTACTTTTTAAATTTCCTATTATGTATCTTTGGTTTTACTTTTGATGTTTGCTTTGTTTTACAACCGGTTAACAACTAACAACTGTTTACATTTACTGGTTTTGTTTACTGTCATTATTTGCAGCAATGGGGAGGTGAGTCATACTTGGCAGTGTTCAGGAACTATTTTGGGTCTTATGCTCAGGAGTGAACCCTGATAGTGCTCAGAGACCATTTGTGGTAACAGGGATTTGAACCAAGTTTGCAGTTGCATCGGCTTTCCTTTCTATACTATCTCTCTGGTCCCATACTGCCTTCTTTTTGCTTTGTTTTTCTTGTACATCCGGTGGTGCTCATGGACCACACTTGCTTTGTGTTTAGGGGCCATACCTGGCAGTGCTAGCACAGCGGGTAGGGCATTTGCCTTGCACGCGGCCAACTGGCCTGACCCGAGTTTGATTTCTACCCCTTCGATTCCTCTGCCTCTCTCGGAGAGGCTGGCAAGCTACCGAGAGTATCTTGCCCACAAGGCAAAGCCTGGCAAGCTCCTCGTGACGTATTCAATATGCCAAACACAGTAACAAGTCTCACAATGTTACTGGACCCACATGAGTAAATCGATGAACAACAGGAGGACAGTGACAGTGACCTGGTAGTGCTCCTGGTAGTGGACCATATATGATGTAAGATTTAAACCAGAGTCGAGGTTGCAGCCACATGCTAGGCAAATGCCTTAACCTTTGCACTATTTCTCCAGTTCCACCATCTTTGGATTTTTTTTTTTGAGAGAGGTAAGGTTGGGACCACCCCTGGCTGTTCTCAGGGCTTACTCCTGGCTCTGTGCTCAGGGATCACTCCTGGTGGGATGCAGTCATATGTGGGTGCCAGGGATGGAGCCCAGTTCCACCCTGTGCTATCTCTCAAGGCTCCCAGTTTCATTTTGTTTTGTTTTGGGGCCATACTTGGTGATGTGTGGGGGTTACTTCTCTCTCTGTGCTCAGGGATCATGCCTGGTGGTGCTCAGGGGACCATACAGAATGCCTGTGTGATACCAAGGATTGAACCCAGGTCGACTGCATGCAAAGCGAGGACCTTACCTCCTCTACTATCACACCAGCCCCCCTAACATTTTTTTAAAAATCACATCTTGGTGCCAGAGCCCTCAGCAGAAAGAAGCACAGCTGAAGTATTGAGCAGTGATGGAATCTGGTGGCCAAAATGGAGTAAGATGGTGACTGATAGAAAAGGAACTTCTCTCTTGACCTGCCATCACATTCCCCCATGCCTCTACCCAGCACCACCAATATTCTTTCTTTGGAATAACTTGTACTTTCTTCATTCTTGTACTGAAAGTTTTAGACTCCCTTCCCACCATTGCAATTTCTGAGTCCTCCCTTCTGTCAGTGGGTATTGATTGACCACTGCCCTTCCTGTTCCATCTGACTTCACGATTATCTTAGGTCTTAGCCAATCCTATTCCACAGGGGATGAGAGTCCTTTGTCCATGCCGGCTTGTGGGACCCGTCCTATTGTACAACAGCAACAAATCTGGCACCTGTATAGAATTGTCTGTGAAAACATCAGTGATTGGAAATGCATGGCTTTCGCCAAGGTACAGAAAGTTTTCTTGGATTTCCTGCCTGGGAGTGTGGAGTCTGCAAGGGTGGGGTGTGGAAAGTTCTCCAACTGACGGTGAACTTTCTCCCCACAGTTTAGCCTGGCTGCGGCCAAGGATAAAATAGAAGGCTGGCTAACAGAGGCAGCGCAGATGAGTACAAATCAGGGGCTACACAGCCCAGTTCTGCAGTGTTGCATGCGCTTGCTGGAGAAGTTTAATAGCTACCTGCCTTTGCTAACCAAGCTGGCAAGCCTTTCTCCACGTAGCCTCAACTACCAAGCCTTCCTTCGAGGTATGTTTGGGCACAAAAGGGTAGAGGGCTTAGAATAATGTAACAACAAGTTCTCCACTGCTGTAATTGCAAACTCCAGTTCTCTCTGGGTTGTTTTCTGCCTTCTCCCCATGGAGATGAACATTCCTAGCCTCTCACTTCTCCATGCGACCTCTATACTTACCTGGGAAGGAGATTTAATTCTGGGCTTTAGTTGTTCTCTAGACTTTTATGTTCAGGGCTTTTTGTTCTAAGTTGGGCTTTGAAAGCTACCTGCCATCTGGCCTCTGCTCTGGGCTGGGTTGGACTGAACTGGGCTCTTCCAAATACCAGATATTGCTCTGATTTGTTGCCCTTATATTTTCAGCCTTAGATTTGGGTGGTATCAGCAATTTAGAACTTCTAACACTGGGCCAACTGCTCTCTCGTCCACTGCTGGAGTTTTCAGATCGAATCAATCAGGTAAGGCCCACAGGAGGGAGGGAGGTGGGCCTAGCCTAGAACCCAGGCACCTAATAGAGTCTTTTAAAACACAGAAGTTCCTCAAGATAAAAGATCAGTTGAAATTGGCATGTAGGTGATTGATTTAGTTTGAGGGTTAAAAATATTGGCCTGTGCGGAAGTTATGAACAGTCTTCTTATGGCCTTTTGGATGGTTCTGGGTTCTTGGCCTTGTGTTGTGCTTTAAGATGAGTGTCTCATAGGTGTTTCCAGATACTGACTGAGAGTATGTACCCTAGGAAAAGAAAGTAGGTGGCAGGTCCAAAGTTGTTGATCCATAAGATGGCATCTATACCCTAGCACTTACCTTATCTCCAAAGAACAAAATCTGTGTTATTGTCTGTTCATCTGGAGCCTTGCAAAAGAGTGGTTTCCAAGGCAGCAGCCCTGGGTCTGAATGTGCCATTAACATTCTGATTTTAAAGCCTAGTGGTCCCCATTCTCTTCATCTCTGAGACTTCCTACCTACCTTTGAGTCCCATCTAGTTCCAGGGTTACCCCTGACGCATTACCTAGTCCAGGTTCCTGATACCCAATTGTTTTAGATCTGGCTGGCTGAAAATCAACGAAAGGTGACCAAAGAGACTCTCCAGCAGCTGCAGTACTCCTGGGATGCACACCAACTTAGAATACAGAATTTCATCCTCCATGTACCGTATGAACCCCCAGTTAGTGAGCGCAACAGAAAGCAAATGGCCCAAAACACCCAATGGGAACCAGTGGACGTGGATAGTGGTACCTTCATCCTTTCAGGTGAGACAGGGCCCTTGTGACCCAATGAAAGTCCTTGGAGGCAGGGTAGGGGGCGGCATAGTCATCCAACATATCTACCGAGCCCCGCTAGATCTGACTTCTCCAGTCAGAAATCATTCCTTCCCAGATGGCATCTGCCTGAGACATCAGTCTGTCCTAAAACACCATCTTCCACATAGCTTTCATAAAGTCTTACTTTTCTTGGAGGTGGAGGAGGGGGTGTTTGGTCTTTATTCCCAATGCCTCACCACTTCAGCAAAAGTTCTCTTTTTTTCAGGGTGTACTAAGATATTCCTCAAGGCCACATCTCTTTACCTTTTACCTTTTAGTGCTATCTTTTCTAGAATGCAATCTGCTGTCTGATCTTTGGTCTTTTCATTCATTCATTCATTCCTTTTTGTTCCCTCAACAAACTTACCTATCTCCTCTAAGTTTTTAATTTTTATCATAATTTTGTAATTTTAAGAACTGACTTGCTGGGGACTTGCTGGGGGTAAGAGACATGGTACAACCAGTTGGGCACTTGCATGTGGCTGACCTGGGCTTGAATCCTAGCACCACATATGGTCTTCCTTAGCACATACAGGTGTGATCCCTCAGTGCTGAGCCAGAAGTAAGCCCTGAGCAATTTCAGGTGTGGCAGAAAAAATTTTAAAACGACTTGCATATGCCTAGGGTTTTTTTTTTGTGTTTTGTTCTTGTTGTCACTGTTTGGTTTGTTGCCAAAGATCAAATCTGGGGCCTCATACATACAAAGCCTTGCTCTGCCTCAGAGCTCTATATCCCTGATGTCTATGGTTTTTTTTAATAAAATCTTCTTTTCTGAAATCTTCAGGACACTTTCCCACCTATATTTCAGTGATTAACATAACAAACTAAAATCCTGCAACTGTAAATATAGCTTGCATATGAAGCAGACTTACAAGCACACTGATTCTCCGTGAACATATACTTCAGCTAACAGAAGAAAAAAAGATTTAGATCTTTTAGCTAGGGGATAACTTGAGATTTGTGACTTTCATTCAATGTGTCTGGGGTATTAGTCACTCCTGCTATTGCTCCAATTGACTACCAACTTAGCTCCACTCAGCCAGAATCCACTCTTTGTCTTTAGATTATAGCAGCCTGCAGGATTCAATCCAGGAGTGTCTTCCGATATTGTTCAAGATCTTGACCACCCATAAGTCAGGGGACTTACACATCGCAGCTTTGGAGTGGCTGGCCAACTTGAAAGGGCTGGGTGAGTGCAGACCTTGAGTGGGTGTGGTGGGTGGGATGTGAGGCAGGATGGCTCAGAGAATGAGAGGGAAGGAATCTGACAGAGCGAAGGCTTCTTTCAGGACCACTTCTTGGACTGAGGTAACCTGGTTTTTATTCAGTGATGTTTCTGTCCTCTGAGCAGTGTCCCTGAGTTCTGCTGAGCAGAGAGTTTTGGCTGGGTTGGTAGGGTGGCCCCCAGAGTTCAGGAGCAGCCTGGAAATCCACACAGGCACCCAAAGCCTAGTGAACCCCATTGTATCGCCAACTGCTCACACAGGCACCCTGTTGGAGGTGTGGGTGATTTTCCAGCAGAAGTGGATTTTCCTGAATAAAGTTCTACATGAAATGAAGATCTCACTTCCTTCTTCTGACCTGGTAGGGAAAGAGGGGCAAGGCAGGGTGAACAAGGGCTTGGAATGGAAGCAGAAAGCTGCCATTTCATCACCACTCTCTCCTTCAACCTTCTTTTCTCCATAGAACTCTCGCTTCCAGGCACTGGATCATCAGTATCGGACCCTAATGCAGATATCTATAGCTGACCCTCAGGTTATGTCACTTATAAAGCCCACTGCCCACCGGGACCCGGCCTTCCAAGGCCAACGGCTACAACAGATGCTGCAAAAAGGCTCAGTGGAGCTAGAGGGCATCATCGTGGCTCTGGAGAGTGTACTCTATGGACTGTGTGCCCAGTTCCCCCGCCTCTTCTTCCTCAGTGACAGTGAATTAGTGGCCCTGCTCTCTAGCCCACTGGAGTTACCTGAGGTCCAGCAGTGGGTCCAGCGCTGCTTTCCTCATGTGCGTGTCGTGAGCTTCAGGCCTGTCTTAAGCAAAGAGAAGAGCCAGATGTTGGAGTCCTCCTTGCAGGTGAACTTAAACACACAGACCCAGGAGGAGGCCTTTGCCGTGGGAGGCGCAGGCGGGGAGGTGATGCAACTGCAGGAGCCCCTGCTTCTGCATAGGGACATCCCCACCTGGCTGGCATCTCTTGAGAAGGGCCTGCGTTTGACACTCGTGCATATGCTCCAGGACTGTGTGGCTTCCCGTCTCGCTCTGAGTCCATCCCTTAGGGAGGTCTTCCAGCAAGTGTCCCAGAACCAGGTGCACCCGCAACAGTATGTCCACCATTGTCTGGATTTAATGCAGACTTTTCCGTGGCAGTGTGTGCAGGTGGCAGAGGATGTGTTATGGTGGGCAGAGATGGAGGAGGATCTGCTTAAGGGGAGGACACAGGATATGGTCCCCTGGAATGTGCAGAAGCTTGAGTTACTGATATATTTTTTGCGGACCCAGAGGGCTTCCCAAGGGAGGCAATCCAATCTCTCTAACCGCCAAATCAGCCTACTCAGTGCCCTGTTGGTCACGGCTGTTAGCCATCGGGACATAGCACAGTTGCTCCAGCAGCACCATGTCAGCAATGTAAAGGACTTCCACTGGGCCCGCCAACTCAAGTACCGCCTAGGTTACCCTCAGACCACCCCTCCGAGTCCACTGCAGAGTCTCAAGACTGTTGCATCTACAAAGGCCTCTCTGTCGCCACCTGTGTGCTGGATAGAGGTGCTGGGCCGGGCTTTCCTGTACAATTACGAGTACCTGGGTCCCAGGCTGGAGTCTCTACCCAGGCTGCTGCCTGAGCAGCCTGCCCTGGTCCTGTTACTGGCCCTGGAAGAGGCGGCCTGTGGGACTCTGTTGGGCCCAAGCGGCATTGGCAAGACAAGCATTGTAAAGAACCTTGCACAGGCCTTGGGCCGCCTCCTGGTGGTAATACCCTGCTTGCCTCAGATGGAGGCGCAGAGCCTGAGCAAGTACCTGAATGGCGCCCTGCAGAGTGGTGCGTGGCTCCTGTTGAAAGCAGCTCAGCGGCTGCCCCTTGGCTTACTCTCTGCTCTGGGCCAGCGCCTTAGTCAACTGTGCCACCTCTATACTCCACTGTCCCAAAAGATCTCCCAAAACCCCAGTATCATCGACCCCACCTGCTCCCAGGTCCTTGGCCGTGGCATCTTTGAGAAACATGACGTGTCCATTCGCCTGGGCTATGGCTGCTTCATGACCCTGTGTACCCACAGCACCACTGTGCCGGCCAACCTGCACCATCTGCTCCGGCCCATGTCCCTAAAGCTGCCTGACCTGCACTGGGTGATAGAGATGACTCTGCTGGGAGCAGGGATACGCGATGCCTCCCGCATGGCCACCCGCCTGTCCAAATTCTTCTCCATGGAATGTGAACTGATTTCAGGGCCCCTGCCCTGCCGCCTACCCCTTCTCAGACGGGTGCTAGAAAACATGATGCAATCCCTGTCTAGGACCATGGAGGACCCTGCACCCCAGCATTTTCAGAGCATAGCTGCCATTGAGGAGGCTGCCCTGCTGCATGCCCTCGTAGACTCACCCCTATTCAATGCTGTCGATGGGGCCCGCCTGCACAAACTCCGGGAACTGCTCTGTGGGCTCTTCCCAGGCGCTAGCAATGTGCTGGCAAAGCCTCTGACCTGCAAACTGAAGAAACCAGTGCTGGTGGAGAAACTGCGGCAAATAGGCCTGTACCCAAGCCCTGAAATCTTGGGGTCCCTGGAGCAGCTGAGCCAGGCACTGGACCAGACTGCAGGCATTTTGCTCCTGGGCCCGGCGGGCAGTGGCAAAACCACTTGTTGGCACAGCTTATTTAAGATCCAGAACCAGCTGGCCATGGAGAGCAGCTCCAGCAAGGAATGCCAGTCTGTGGAAATTACTCATCTGTATCCCAGTGCCCTCAGTTCCCAGGAGTTCCTGGGATGGCTGGAGGGGTCCTACTGGCACCGTGGAATCTTCCCTAAGCTGTTTCATGAGACCCTATTCATAAAGCAAAAGGCATGGAAATCCATAGGCATCCAGCACTGGATTATATGTGACGGGGTCGCCAGTGCTGCTTGGCTAGACAGCGTCACTTGCCTCCTAAGTGACCCCTTTCAGCTAAGCCTGCCCAGCGGTCAGCAGATAGCACGGTCCCAGGACACTTTTCTCTTGCTGGAGTTGGGAGACACCACAGGCATGGCGCCCACGGTAGTGGGCCGTTGTACCCTGGTGTGGTGCGGTGGGAAGCAGACCTACCAGAGTATGCTTAGCGCCCTGATGGCCTCCCTGACCCAGGACTACCATCTGCAGCAGCACACAGTCACTGAGCTCAATCACTTGGCCGAAGTGCTGGTGCCAGCGACGTTTCGATTCCTCACCCTCCATGGTGCCAGTTCTCTCCTGCAAGTGCACGGGCAGCAGGCTCTTTGCTCAGGGGTGGCTGAAGTCACCAGTCTGGCCCGCATCTTTCGTTGTCTGCTTAATTCCATAGACAAGAAGGCCCAAAACACAGGTGGGGAAAGAGAAGGGCTGGACTGAGGGACAAACGGGCCAGGAGGGTAGCTGGGCTAAGGCTGGACGTTGGAGTGGATTCTTGGGTGGATTTGGGCTTGGAGACAGAAAGAAGTAATAACACATAACTTCTTTCCTACCCTGCTGGTCTCTGCTTCTGCTCGGGTGCCGATTCTGATTGTGTGGACTTTTGCAGAGAACTTTGGCCGTTATGATACTCTGACCCAAATCTTCAAGGGCTCAAAGAACAACGTTCTGAACCAGGCCCAGCTTGGCACCAGTGATACATCTAATAAGAACAGAGAACACCTACTGGCTGTCAACAGCTTTATTTTTGCCTTGGTCTGGGGCTTTGGAGCCCATCTTCCTTCCAGGTATCTCCAGGGATGGAGGGTGGAGGGTGCAAGGGGCTTACACAAACTGATTCATGGTGTCAAAACCCAGGTGTCATCACTTTGGGGGAAGGGTGGAATGTTGCCAATGTGTCATGAGTGTAGCTGTTGCAATACTCACTTTTGCCTCTATGTCCATCTGAACAGGTTCTGGTTGTCCTTTGATACGTTCCTGAGGGAGGCTATTAGCTGTCTCCCCAACTACCCTGAGCTACCGCCCTCAATCTTGATGTTTGATCTATATGTATGTCCTCAAACTGGGAAACTGGTCCCCTTCACTGGACAATACCTGAGCAGCCACATCAAGGGATCTTTGGGAAACTTCAAACCATCTTCCGAGGTGTGAAGCCACTGGGACAGTAGTTAGGGTTTTGGGGTGGGGGGATATGCCCTGGGGTAGTTCATATTCTAGACCTCAATGAATCTCTGGTTCTTTGAATTTTTTGTTTGTTTGTTTGTTTGTTTATGGTTTGGGCCACACCTGGCAATGCTCAAGGGTTACTCCAGGTTCTGAACTCAGGAATTACTCCTGGGGCTCATGGAGCCATAATGGATGATGGGGATTGAACTCAGGTCAGCCACGTGCAAGGCAAGTGCTTGACTCTCTGTACTATAACTCCAGTCTCTGACTGATTTTAATAAACACAGGAATACACAAAATGTTGTTTTAAGAAAAGACCCCAAGACCCTGACTTTTGGGTAGATAACCATCCAAAATTGAAACTACCATAGTAAGCCCTATTCCTGTCTTGCAGGCTGAACGGCTCTTGTATATGGTGGACCTGCTTCTGTCAGAAGGATACCCAGTGCTTCTGGCTGGGGAGGCAGCAGCAGGGAAATCAGCATTTGTGGAGGTGCTCGTGGAGCCACATCACCCTTTCACAAGCAGCCCTATCCATCCCGCCTTCACCACCACCCACTTTCGCCTTCTGCTGAGTCAAGTGGCCCAGGGCCAAACGCAGACCAACCCAAGGAGGTACCTGAATTCTAAAGGCTCCTTCCTTTTCCTATTAGAGGATCTGCACCTGGCAGCATCTGGTGAGAAACTGAGAAGAGTCACTGTCATCTTGTAGACAGTGAAATTCGTAGTAGTATTCAATGACTTCTCTATGCGTATCTTGGAACAGTCTTATCCTCCTTATGACCTCATATACCATCTCTGTGCTTTGACTGCTGTTTCTTTGTCTTTAGCTGGGCGTCTCAACAGCAGACCTATTTATGCAACTATCTACTCTGTAGCTCTACCTTTTTGTCCTATTGGCTACTCAGATCCAGCTCTGAAATATCTTTCCTCCCTCAAAAAAAGCAAGCTCCTGTGTCTTAGTAATGGGTGCCACCAGCCATCCAGTCGCTTAAACAAGATATATATAATGTGACTAAACTCAGGGCCTCTCATGTGCAACACAGGTGGTCTACCAGTGGACAACTGGTTGTTTACTTCCCAATCCCTTCCATAAAACTTAGCTTCAGGGCAACAGAAATTCATTTCATTTATTCTGATAGTGCTAAAAGAAGTAAACACTTAGGGCTGGAGAGAAAATACAGCAGGTATGGTGCTTGCCTTGTATGTGGCTGACCATATTCAATCGCTGACACCACATATGCACCTTTGGGCATGACCCCTGAGCACTGCTGGGTATAATCCCTCCAAAAAAAAAAAAGAATTTGTAGAATAAGTGGGGGAAATGAAAGAGAGAAATTCTGATGAAAGTTTGTGACATTGAAGTTTAAAATGTAAACTTGTGTCCCTTCAGATACTGATAGGTTCAGAATATGGTTTAAGTATGGTCAGAATTACGTGGGGCCTCAAGGAATGGGGGTGGAGTTGGCCCTTTCCTTCCCGCCCCAATGAGACCCCGAGTCGCCGCCCACAAACGGAGCTTCTCTGGCTCCTGATCAAGCTGCTTAGCAGCCATAATCCCAGAGACTCGGGAACAAATCTTGGAACCCAGCAGGTTTTGTCAGAAATCCCTCCAAATTTAATTGTTAAAATTTCAGAATTCTAAAATTGTGCAGCCACTACTGCGTTCACGTGACATCATATGTTATTCTTAATCGGCAATGAAAACAAATTGTCTAAGGTTGCCTTTTTGGAAGATCTGAGTGTTGGTGTAAAATCCCAAATAATAATGGTGGGTCTTGTGTAGAAATATTGAATGTAATCAAAGTAGAGAGAGAGAGAGTAAGGTAGAAATCATCTGTCCCACAGGTAGGGGGGAGGGTGAGGATGGGGGGTGCACTGGGGTTTTTGGTGGTAGAAAATGGGCACTGGTGAAGGGACGGGCGTTTCATCATTGTATGACTGAGATTTAAACCTGAAGGCTTGTAACTGCTCTCATGATGTTTCAATAAATAAGTTTATTTAAAAAAAAAGGTAAGGTGGAATTCATGCCCAATTCAATCAGCCTAATCAATGGCTTAATAAATTGCAATATTACCACATTAAAAAAAAAGAAAGAAAAAAAAGAATGGTCAGAATTGAAGTCTAGAACAGGTAATGGGGGCTCCAAGAAATCATGGGGTTAAATCATTATGCGGGCTATATAGCTAGACACAAAATAGTCCTCTGAGATGTAGAAAATTTGAACCAAACTATGTAAGTACATAGTAGTAATAATAAGCACCATTTATTGAAAACTATGTGTTACCTGTGTTATGTCATCTTTGTGTTATAAAAGCTTAGTAAGATGAAGAATTTGGATTTTCATTTTCAATCATATCTAAATTTTGTTTGTTTGTTTGTTTGTTTTTGAACCACATATGACAGTGCTTAGGGATTACTCCTGGCTCTGCACTCAACAATCACTCCTGGCAGGCTTAGAGGATTATATAGGGTGTTGGGGATTGAACACAGGTGTGTTTGGGTGACATCCGGTGATGTTCAGGGATTACTCCTGGCTCTTCACCCAGGATTTGCCCCTGGTGGTGCTCAGGGAGCCATATGGGATGCTGGGGACCAAATCTTGGTTGGCCTCATGCAAGGGAAGCACCCTACCCACTACACTATCACTCTGGGCCCCCAGACCATCTTTAATTTTCATTCAATGAGTCAGAAGGGTAGGTAGGTCAGAAAGGTAGGACATGGAAGAGAAGAGCAAAGAAATTACTTTTAAGAAAAGTATAGGAGAGATATGGACCATTCAGACCCAAGCAAGATCCAATGCACAGAAGCCTTTAGAACTTGGTACTGAAGCAGAATCTGAGACGCAGGAGGTAACTATGTCCTTTGGATTCAGGCATGTCCTTACTTTTACTCTTCATGTCCTACAGACCCAGAGAGGAGCTGCCAGCCAGTTTTGGAGACTTTGCGCCAGGCCATGGACGGCACCATGTATGCCCATGACACCTTAGAGCTGCAGACACTGCCGCCTTCAGTCAACTTCCTTGCCACGGCCACAGTGCCAGGCTTCTGTGAGCGCTCAGTGTGCCCCCGCCTCTTTCGGCTCTTCACAGTGCTGGCCCTGAGCAGCGTGACTGTGTCAGTGCTTCAGAGGAGGCATGGGCCCACCCTCCATGCCTGGCTAGAGCGTTTCCCCTCTGTGGAGCGGGAGGGCAGTCTTGCGAGAGCCATGGTGCAGGCCTCGCTGGAGGCCTGGGAGGCCGTGAGCGGCTGCTTTATGCCTTCACCCCTCCACCCACACTACCGCTTCTCCCTACACTCTGTGGGCCAGATACTGGACAGCATACAGGCCCTGCCCATCCGAACTGGCATTCGAGGGTTTATGGACTATTCTAGTCACCAGGACCACTTGAAGTTGGTGTTGGGCCTCCATGGCACCCGCCTGACTGTGATGATGACGACGTGCAGCATGGTGCGTCTCTGGCTGCACGAGGCACAGAGAACCTTTTGTGACCGACTAGACAGCCATAGGGAACGCTCTTACTGTGCCAAGCTGCTCCTGGCAGTAGCCCAGAAGGTCTTCTGCTGTGCACCAATATCCCAGGACCTGGGCAAGGGCTTTGATGAGGGAGAGGAGGAGGAGGGAGAGGAAGATAAAGAAAGAGTGCCTGAAGTGGAGTCTGAAGGGGAGTTGGCCCAGTGGGAGGATTTAAGCAGCAGTGGTAGTGAGAAGGAGGAGGAAGAGAAGGAGGGTGCCTACGGCCTGCAGGTCTCCATGGCTTTGCCCCCATCTGTGCCTCCCTCCATAGGGCCAGTCAAGAAGGGGGACACAGAGAACCTAAGTCAGAAAGTCAGCCAGGAGGAAGGCAAAAGACCCTCCACCAACAAATTAAAGATGAAGAGATCTAAGATTTGGTGGCAGAAGGCACGCCAGACGGATCTGACCTCACCCCTATTGCTGCCAGTACTGTTACTTCGTCCCCAGGAAAACCCCTCAGACTTGGTCTTCTGTCGAGAACTGATAATGGGGTCCAGCCAAGAGAGTGTCAAATTGTACCTAGAACGGCAGTGGGAGAGGCTGAGAGAGCAGCTCGCTTCTACAGCTGCTAAACTAAAGCTGAACCCCAGCCTTGCTCAGTGCCACACCATGGTCCAGCATGTAGCCCGCCTCGTTCGCGTGCTGGCCAGGCCTGGCCAGCATGGCCTACTGCTTGCAGGGGCTTTGGGTACAGGGCGCCGTACTGCCGTCACGCTGGCAGCTGGCATCTGTCAGGCTCGTCTTTTCCATCTGCCAGCAGGGTCCAAGGAGGCCACTCTCCAATGTCTGCAGGATGCCAGTTGGCACGCCGGCGTATTTGGCCGGCCAGTGGCCCTGCTGGTATCCAGGGGTGTGGATCTTCACACCCTTCATTGCCTGCTGGCCCTGGCAAATTCGGGCAGCTTCCCTGCCCAGTATTCAGAGGCAGATCTGGACAGAATTGAGGAGCATATGTTCAGGGAAAACATCAAGCAGAACATCCGGAAAGAAATGCTACTGCAGAGGTAAGGCCAAGAGCCCAATACCATGGCCATCTGTGCTCTTGCTCCATCCTGGCTAAAAGGGAAAACAACGGCCATTGAAAGGGTTAATATCAGGGCTCAAGGGTTATAGTTGAGCCTGGCTCTGGGTGGGCCGATAGGGATAAAGGGGATATGGGAGGATATCATCTGAGCCCTCGGCCCATAGGTTCTATCAGCAAGTGTGCAGCCACCTGCACATGTTCTTCCTGATTGAAGATGAGCAGGCCCAGAAGCACCTGCCTTGCACCCTCTTCCTGAGACTCCTCAAACTGGCCATCGCCAGCATTGACCACTATGAGCCGTGGGACCAAGCTTCTCTGGTCAGTGTGGCCCAACACTATCTGAAGGCTGTTCAGAGTCCACCCGGTGATAGTGGTGAGCCCCTTTTATCTATCCTTGCCGCTCTCAAGCAGGTTCTAAGCAGGATTAGGACTTAGGTCAGTCTCTTTGTAGAGTCTAATGAGCTTTCCCCTTCTCTGCTCTCCTCTCTGTGCCAGGAGACAGTCCCTTGCCTTCCCTTTCCATCTGCCTACAAATTCAGATTAAAGTCATGCCCATTTCAGATCCTGTGAAGTTTCCAGACTTTGAGGCCTCAGTTATGAGAATGGCCAGAGTTATGGCTCTTATCCATCTTTCGGCTGGTACCTACCAAGGAGTCCTGTGCCCGGAATTGCCACTTGTCACCCCCAAGACCTTTCTAGACTTCCTGGATACCTTCATGCTAGTACAGAAAGAGATGAGCCAGCAGATGAGGAAGAAGGCCCAGCAGTGAGTGGCCCCATTCTCTGTACTGTACCTTCTGCTCGCTCGACCTTCTGTTCACTCAACTGGCATATTGTGTCTCCAGGATCCAGGATGCCCTAGAAAATCTGGAAATTCTACTAAAGCAGCACCATACCTATACCAACTTGATTTGCGACTTGGAACAGCAGTTGAAAGACTTTCGTAAGGTGAGGGGAAGAAAATTATGAGGTGGGCATAATAGGAGCAAAGGAGGAACCAAAGAAGAGATTTTGGAGGAACAACCCAACTGAACTTTAGTTCTCTCTTAAGAGTCCCCATTTCTCAGGAAATCTAATTTATGCTACCTCATCCTTTAGAGCTCAGCTTAAAGTTCTGCTGGACACAGTTGAGACTGGACTTCTTTTCTTTTTATTTTTTTAAGGTTTTTTTTAAAATTTTTAATTTTTTTAATTGAATCAGTGTGAGATTGACCCTTACGAAGCTGTTCATGATTAGGTTTCAGTCATACAGTGTTCCAACACCCATCTCTCCACCAGTCACACTTACTTTTCTAAACACATTGAATTCCATGTGTCTGATTTTGACTATCCCCAGTGTGTTCACCGTGTGAGATGATGCTCCCAAGATTTCTACTTGAAAATAGAAATCTTGCTCCCAAGATTTCTACTGTGGCCCATCAGGGCTAAGGGAATCAATTATGTTCTTGTGATTACTTCTCACTTGCATCCTCTCGTTAGGAATTTACTATCACTGCCAGTGTCACCTCTCTGGCCCCACACACATCTTTTCCCATACTACTTTATTTCCTACCCTTTCTTCCATAAAAATACCAAAAATGCAAGGTGGGTGTATACATAGAGAATGAATGGTGAATAGCAATTGGGGCAATTTACTTTTCTTTTTCTTTTTTCTTTTTGGGTCACACTTGGCGATGCTCAGGGCTGACTCCTGGCTCTGCACTCAGCAATCACTCCTGGCGGTGCTCAGGGGACCATATGGGATGCTGGGAATCAAACCTGGGTCGGCCTTGTGCAAGGCAAACACCCTACCCACTGTGCTATTGCTCCAGCCCCCCGGGGGGGGGGGGAGGATTTACTTTCAAGCACAGAAACAGAAATAGACTTAAATGACTGTATATAAGACATAAATGTCCTGAATTTTCTGTCATGCTCTTGTTTCACTCGTTACTCAGTCACCCTTACTTTTCATTTATAACTTCCAGGAACAATTTGTATGTGATAGATTCCTCTCCCCCATCTCCCAACTCATACTTAAATTCTACTGCTTTCTTGTAAAGGGCAGTTTTCCTTCGTAAATAAACAAATTTTATTTGTTTATATCTATATCTTATATCTAGCTAAATCTGTGAGAGTAGGGTCATCATACCTTCAATTACCAAATTCTATAAGTTAAAGGTGTTGAACAAAATAAAGAAAAGCTTTCCCTCTTTTGTCTTGTTCTTAATAAGAGAAGTTCTAGGGCTGGAGCGATAGCACAGTGTGTAGGGTGTTTGCCTTGCATGCAGCCAACCCGGGTTCGATTCCCAGCACCCCATATGGTCCCCCGAACACCACCAGGAATAATCCTGAGTGCATCACTGGGTGTGACCCAAAAAACAATAAAATAAAATAAGAGTAGTTCTGAAATTGCCTTTCTCCTCCTTTCTGTTACACAAGGCTTAATGTGTAGCTGAAATTTTAGGGATAACTATAGACAAGTGAATTTGTATCAATCCACAAGTGGATAATCGGACTGGTTCTTCTGAGCTTGGAGGGCAAATGACTGCAGTGATCCAGCCCACCTTTTCTTTTTTTTAAATTTTTATTAGTGAGACATCATGAGATACAGTAGTAGACTTACAAATTTTTGTGCTTGGGTTTCAATTATACAATGATCAAATACCCATCCCTCCACCAGTGCCCATTTCCCACCACCATGGATCCCAGTATCCACCTTTTCAAATGGGTGTCCTTAGGGTTATCAGTCTAAGGGCAGTGTGAAACAAAGCTTAGGGACACAGCTGGGGTTGTATTCCGGGACACAGTTTTTTGTTGGTTTACTTTTTGATTTTGGGGTCACACCCAGCAGTGCTTAGGGCTTATTCCTGACTATACTCAGGGATCACTCCTGGCAGGGTTTAGGGGACCATATGGGGTTCCAGGGACTGAACCCAGGTCAGCCATGTGCAAGGCAAGAGCCCTACTCACTGTACTATCACTCCAGCTTCCAAGGGACACAGGTGCTTTTGGGTGTGTGTTTGATGTAAAGTTTCCTTAGAAGATCAAGTAGTTCTGGGAAAGTCTGATACTTCTGGGGATCTCTACCTTAGATTAAACCTCTTTTTTGGTTTGTTTTGTTTTGGGGCCACATTCTGCTGTGCGAGGGGCTTACTCTTGTTCCTGTGCTCAGGAGTCACTACTGGCAGGCTCAGGGTACCATATGGATTACCAGGGCCGGCCACATGCAAGGCAAGTGGCTCTATGCACTGTACTATTGCTCTGGCCCTAAATCTCAATCTTAAAGAATAAGAGTTCTCCTGTGTATTCCAAATTCCAGTTTCTTATCCCAGATTCTACCTTTCCCAAGATGATTAATATCAGGATTTGTTGATATGACGTAGGGGTGTTAGGAAACTTGACCCTTGGGCCAGTAATCTCAGAACACAACGTAAGACGCTAAATCTGGGTAAAAGATGTTTAGAATCTCAGATATTCCTAGCACACAATATCAGATCCCTCAGTTATTTTTTGGCTTAGCTTTAATGTGCATATCCCAGTGTTCCTCATCCCAGGAAATGGCATTATCATCCATTAAGTCATTTAAGCAAATCCCAGGAGCCACACTGTATTCCTTCATATTTTTTTTCTCTTTCACATTCACTTGGTTCACAAATTTTTTATTACTGTGATGTATAGAAAATAATTTAAATTCACAGTTCACATTTTGTGGATAAGGCATCATGCCACATGCCACAGTAATGTAGCATGAGTCATGGAAGAACATGGTAGGCACTCAAAAACTTACCTTAAATTTTTTTAAAAAAATAATACATGCATCAAAATTGAAACCTGAATGTTAAATGAGAGTTGACATAGGAAGGGATAGGAAGGAAGAATTCCACAGGCTGGAATAGCATCCAAAGCCTAAAGACAAGAGAATGTGTCCACACCGGGGAAGGTAGAGTTAGGAATAACTGGAGAACACACTACTGTGGGTTGGAGTGATAGCACAGTGATAGGGCGTTTGCCTTGCACGCAGTCAACATGGCCGACCCGAGTTCGATTCCTCCGCCCCTCTCAGAGAGCCCGGCAAGCTATCAAGAGTATCTCGCCCGCACGGAAAAGCCTGGCAAGCTACCCGTGATGTATTCGATATGCCAAACACAGTAACAACAAGTCTCACGATTGAGACGTTACTGGGCCCGCTTGAGCAAATTGATGACCAACGGGAGGACTGTGACTGTGATACTACTGTGAGAGAGGGGAAAAAGAAGTGACGTGGAAGGGATGAGTAGGGGTCTAGTCATGGAAGTGTTATAAACTGGATGCAAGAGTGGCAAAAGTTAGGTGTCATGATGATAACGATAACTGGTTTATAGAAAGCTAACTGGGCTGCAGCATGCAGAATGGATTAAAGAAGGGGGAGTAAGAGTCTGAGACACTGGTTCAAAAAGTCAGTGTAGAGGTAAAGGTAGGAAAAAACACGTAAGACTTAGTGACCAGTGTTGGGCATGGAGCTAGGCATGAGGAACATTTAGGTGGTAAATAGAAAGGCCTTGAAGATGAGTTGGTTTGGGGAGATAGAAGAGATGAAGTCAGGGTAACTATTAAGTTCATTCCTTAGAAAATTTGATACACTTTGTACCCAAGTTTTCTGAGAAAAAGAACACATTAAGGTATTAGTACAACTTCAAGATGTAAAGAGGCATGGCTAATACACTTATTTTTGGACATGTAGAGTCTGATGGGACAGGGAAGTTATAAAGTACTGAGGTGATGGTGTCCTCCTCAGTAAGTGCATACATGTTTCATGACACTTAGGGAAGGATCTGGCTAGAAGGATATTTGGATGTTTTCTGAATGCATGTGGCATCTAAGCCATGAGATAGGGGGCATAAATGTGTAGTGAGGAGTGGAGCCTGAAGCAATTGCTGAGGGATGTTTAGGGTGGCAGACAAAGAGAGTAAGCTTGAGTAGTAAAGAAGTTGCAGAAAGTCAAAAGAGAATATAGTGTTATGGAGGTCTAGAGAAGGGAACAGAAGTGAGGGAATTGTCTTAAGCGATAAAGACTGATGCTGGGTCAAGTGGGATAAAGAGTGTAGCATAATGGTTAAGGACATAGGTTTAAGATTTAGATTTCCTGGCCTGTGTGGTACTACAGAAAAAGCAATCATCCATTTGAAGTTTCATCATTCAATGTATTACTCACAAACCACACATACATATTCTAGAACTAGTAATTGACAGTACTAGAGGGGTGTGTGTGTGTGTGTGTGTGTGTGTGTGTGTGTGTGTGTGTTTATCTGTGGTCTCTTTGGAGTTCAACACCATCAACCTTGTCATAAAACAAGAAGTCCCATGCTAGTGGGTTTACCTTTTGGGGCCTTCCTGTCTGGCCCAGGATCTGGACCTGCAAACATGTATCTCTGTTCACAGGATGCCGTCTTACTAAGGCAGATGCTAGATCAGAACAAGCTTCAGCACTCGCAGCAGCTGTCAGTGTGTCAACAGCAAGAGAACCTCATTGAGAACTTGACCAAGCAACGAGATGCCCTGCGGGCTCAATATGAGGCTTTTCTGGAGCAGGTGGGTCTTTGTGATTGTCTCTTGAGAGGAAACAGCCATTCACAGGACACCCAGAAACAAATAGGGGTTGGTTTTCATGGAATCTCCGAGGGGAGGGGGCAAAGGTAATGATAGGATGGAAATGGTCCCTTGTGGGGACTTCTATGAGGGGATACTCTGTCCTGACAACATCCTGGAGAAAGAAGAACATTTTAGGAATTCACTTCAAGTGCCTCTATCAACATTTAGATGAGCACAGCATTCCTGAGACCCCTCAACCAGCTTCAGATGACTGACTTTGAGGAGATAAGGAGCTACCGAGCTCCGCCAGAATCTGTGGTCCGGGTGACTGATGCAATGTGTAACCTGTTCCATCATGAAACGGGCTGGCCAAGTGCCAAGCAGCTGTTATGTTCTGAGGACTTTTATCAGGTAGGGAGAGCATGTGGGGAAGAGGAGGGGGAAATGTGACAGGCCTAGACTGTCCAGACAAGGCTCAGAGCATCTTGTCTCTTTCCCTGCTCTTTTTATATTATCTCCCAGGAGTTGGTATACTTCCCCAAGGATAAGATAACAGACTCAGAGCTGACTGAATTAAGCCGAGCTTTGCAGGGGCCAGGTATGAGTGAGGAAGCTTTGCGGGAAGCGAGCCTGCCTGTGGCAAACTTGGCAGCGTGGCTCTGGGCCATTGTGCACTACAAGCTGGCACAGCACCGTGGACAGCCCACGGGCCAGCTGCTGGAGCAGGTGGAAGCCACACTGGCTCAGGAGCAGGCCCGCTTGGGCCACTACCAGTTACAGGCCCAGAAGTTGCTCGAGAAAACGAATACCCTGCTAAGGAACATAGAGGAGACCCAGAAGTCCTACAGCCATATCTTAGAAGATCTGCAGTGGGCTCAGTGTGGCCAATATCACAAGTGGCCTGTTAAAGCTGCACTGCTGACTCCCAAAGTCTCCTGGACTTCAGAGCTCCAGGTAACCAGCCCTCTCAAAGCTACCCCTTCCTCTCAAACTTAACTTCTGCACCACTGCCCTCACTCTCCTGGTCCTTCCTGAGCCCTCACTTCCTTTCTTGCTCCCACTCCATCCTCCTTGCCAAGCATTCCTCCATCCCTGTCTTGTCCCCTCCCTCCCAATCCCCTCCTCGAGGGCCTACATACCCTTTGCTCTTCCCTTCCCCACCAGAAGGTGAAGAAGCACTGCCAGACTATATTTGGAGATGCCCTCCTGTGTTCAGCAGCCATCATCTACCTGGGTCCCTTCCCACCACTGCGGCGGCAGGAGATCCTGGACAAGTGGCTGGCTCTGTGTCAGGGCTATCAGGAGACCCTGGGCCCAGATGATGTAGCACAGGCAATCAAGCCAAAGCAGGATGTGAGCATGCCACCAAAGGTGCTCCTGTCAACACGCTGTCCCTTCAACCTTCTGTCCTTGATGAGCTCTGAATCAGAACAGTTCCAGTGGGACAGAGACCTGAAGCCCCAGGCCAAGTCAGCTCGTGTGGCAGGCCTGCTCGTGCGAAGTCACTCTCACTACCACAGTTGCCGGTGGCCTCTGCTGCTTGACCCCAGTCACCAGGCCCTCATCTGGCTGAAACCACTGCCTCTGGAAGGGATGACAACCCTGGACTCTTCTTCTGGTGAGCTCAGAGGAAAATCCAGAGAGAAACACAGTTTTCTCCGATATTTGAACTGCCCGACATTCTCAGACATATGTGATCTCCCTTTCAAAAAGATGCTAAATTTTTATGGTCTCCCAGTTTCACCAACCTCTATAACATCAATAAACTAGGTCACCTTTTACATGTTTTAGTCATGTGACAGTGAATCTGATTTTTCCTGGATGACTTGCCCATGATCTTCCATTTCCCTGATCTGCTCAACACTGCTGGAAACTTGGCCTATAGTTCAGAGCATTGCTATCTCAATTTACCCATCCTGCTGCTATTATATCATGGCTACTAGTATTATGGTCTATCCTTTAGCTTTCCAGCACAATATTTTGTTATGCCCACAGACCATTACAACAATACCCATTTGTTCCCTGAAACCCAACAGATGTGATCCTTGAGCATGGAGCCAGAAGTAAGCCCTGAGCAACCCCAGTGAGGTCAGCCACCTCCCCCCAATCCCCCAAGATATCTTTTCCAGCTCCTAGACCAGAGGAGGCAAAGAAGGTAGCTAACTCTACCATTAATAAAATTTACTTAAAAGTCACTATCTGAGGGAATCAAGTTGTTTTTCTTTTTTGAAGGATGGGCACACCCAACTATGCTCAGTATTTACTCCTGCCTGTGCACTCAAAAATCACTTCTGGTAAGGCCCAGGGGATATACAGGTGCTGGGTACTGAACCCAGATTGGCCACATACAAGGCAAGTGCCCTACTATACTCCCTTTCCAACTCTGACTAGTTGCTTTGGTTAGTGATTGATGATTTGAGTTGTGACTAAGGGAGTTAACTTCTGCGAAGAAGGAAAATGCATTGATTCTCCTAAACAACCTATAAAAAGACAAATAGAACTCATTTCAGATATCCACCCTACCATTTCAGAGTGCTAACGATAATAACTAACTTATACTGAGTGCTTACTAGGTGCAGTGAAGTGGTTTTCTATGTCGAGTCTCATGTTAATCTTCACAGTTGATGCTTACTAATGCCAACCCCATTCTTCAGATAAGGAAGTGGAGTGATTGAGGCCTCTTTGACTTTTCTGTGATGTCTTCATGTAAAACTTCCCTCATGAGATGGAGCCCTTGGGTGGAAAATTGTGCCCTGACAGCCTGGTTCCTTGCCTGAGCAGAACACCTCTACTTCTTTCTGCCACAGAGAAAAGCTTCATGAGTCAAGAAAAAGAAAGTAAAGAGGAGGAAGAGGAAGAAGAAGAGTATTATAGTGAAGACAGTGATTTTAACCTTTTGGGCATAATAAGAAGGTCAAGGTCAGAGAAAAGAGAGGAAGTACAGGAGAAAAAGGAAGAGGAGGAGCAGGAGACAGAGCCAGAGAGTCCTAAGTCAAAGCCAGCCCCCGAGACACAGCCTCTGCCCACTCCCTACCTCAAGGTGCTCTCTGGGGCTGACCCACAGCTGGGTGCTGCCCTCTGCGAGGCAGCCGCCAATGGTGAGAGCCGGGACCCCAACACCACCATCATTCCATCCCACAGCCCCCTCCTACCCAGATGTGACCTCAGTTCCCACCCTCATCTGGGGTACTAGTTCTGTGGAGAAGGTGGTGGGCTGGGGAGAGGGAGGAGCTTGATCCAGCTTTGTGCATGGGGGTGCCACGGTGCTGGCAGGCTGGGTAGGGTGTCCTTGCCTCCCTGTCGCAGGCCAGCAGGTGCTACTGATCAACATGGAGCTGGGCCTAGAGTGCCAGGAACTGCAATGGCTGCTGGAGCGGGAGAGGCTGAGCCCGCCCCAAGTGCAGCCTGGCTTTTGCCTCTACCTGAGCACGACCCTCCCGCTCAGTGCCTTAGGAAAAGGTGAGACCCGCTGGATAAGTCTCCAGCACAGCTTTGGGGTGGTTTTTGGGGTTTTGGTTATAGTTTTGGTTTGGGGGGCTACATCCAGGCAGTGCTCAGGCTTGAATTTGACTCTGTGCTCACGGATGGGGCTTGGGGGACCACATGAGGTGCCAGGGATTGAACCCAGGTCAACTGCCCTCCTGTCACACTACCTTTCCAGCCCCTCCCGCACAGTTTGGTAGACCCACTTGAACTTGTCTCCGTCCTGGCCAGAGCAGGCTCAGACCCCTGTTAGGGGAGCTTTAGTTGTGTCCAGCTCCCCCTACCTCCTGGTTCTGCCCAAGAGTTAAGTCTCCCACGTGACCCCAAGTGCTAGGCTGTGAACGGCTGAAGGGGCTGAATGTGTTGGATCTGGGCTCGAACCTGGAAATCCTAGAAGAACAGATGCTGCACGAGCTCATGTGCACACAGTATCCTGAGATGGAGGCCCGCTGGCAGGAAATAAAGATCAGAATCCTGGAGAGCCGCAAAGCTGTGGAAACTGCCGAGGTGTTTAGGGCCCCAGACTGCGGGAGGGGCTGGGTTTTGGAGGGGCCCCAGTACGGGGGTGGTAGATGATTGGGTAGTTTGCTGGGGGTGTGTGTGGGGGGAAGGGCCAGGTCCCAGCAGGAAGTGTCTGTACACAGGAACAGCTGCTGCAGATGATGTTTCTCCATAACACAAAGTATCAGAAACCCTCCAAGTTCCTGCGGCACATAGTGAGGGCCCAGGCCCGACTGATTCAGCTGCGGGCTGACTGTGAGGAACTAGAAGAGCTGAGGCTGCAGGAGATGGTACTGTGGGCACCCTACCGGCATACAATCTGGCAAGTCCTCACCATCATCAAGGCCCTGAATCCACTGCAGAACCTGCTTCCCCCTTTCCGGATGAGCACAGAGAGATGGCTGGCGATCATCAAGCAGGCTCTGATCAGCAGTAAGAAGTACGAGTTTCTCCCAGGAGGGGACCTGTCCAGCCACTTGCTGCAGCTGAGAATCCATCTGGTCCGCCAATTGCTAGGCACCACTGTGGGAGTAGTGGGCCTGACCCGGCTACCCTTGGTGGGTGCCTTGGGTGCCTTGGCTCTGCTGCAAGCCACAAAGAAGTCGCCAGAGCCAGAGATGGTGGCACTTTGGCCTGGCCTGTCAGCGTCTCCCAGCATAAGTTATTGCAAATTAGGTATAACCCGACCAGCCTGGCTTGGACTTAGAGCCTGGCAGGAATGTGGCCTGTTAGAGGTGCTCCCCCCATTTTCTGGGCTGTGTGAGTCCTTGGCACACCACCCTGAGGTCTGGCAGGCCTACCTGTCATTGTCATCCACCGTGCTGGGGCCTGCGCCTATCCCGCTTAGTCTCCTTCAGAAGCTGATCCTGTGGCGAGTGCTGCGGCCGGAGTTCCTGGTGGGCACCCTGGCCGACTTCACCACCAGTCTCCTGGGCCGACCTCTGGATGAAAACCTGAAGGTCGACCCTATCCCCTTCGAAAACAGTCATGCTACGCAGCCCATACTGATCTTGCTGCCACCACCTGGTCACCCCGAGGCCACCCTGCATCCCCTGACTGTCATCCAGAGCCTGGCTGCCACACATATGAAGGTTCGGATTTGGCCTCTCGGTCACAGAGTGACCAGACTCCTAGGGGCTGGTGTGAGTGTCCCCCGCTCCCTGCCCCTGCCCCCTGCCCAGTGTTCCCGTGGTCTCTCTGGATAACTCAGGGACTTTGAGGTTCACTGTGGCATTATTCCTGGTACCTGGGGTCACCTGGGATCTCTGTGCTATTCTGACATCTCTCTGTTGTTAGGGGCATGTGGAGGTGATAGCCCTGGGCTCGGAAGCCTGGGACCCCATCTCGGTCGTGGTCAGCACGCTGCACCAGGCTATGAAGGAAGGGCACTGGCTAGTGCTGGAGAACTGCCACTTGATGCAGCACTGGCCAAATGAGCTGCTCCGACCCTTGCTGGAGCTGCTGGATGCAGTCAAGGGTGGGTCTGCCGTTTGGACGAGGCTTCTACTACCCTGCCTGACATCTGGGCTTAAACCGTCAGTTCTCATGGCCTTTCGCTTGGATGTAACTCCTGACCTTCTGGCCTCCAGTCTGAGCCTGGACTTGTGGCTGACCCTTCTCCAAGCGGTTGACCTCAGTTCTTTGATTCACTTCTAGACGCCTCAGATCCGGACTTACAACTGCTTTTAGCTGAACCTGCAAGCAGGAAGGTGGCCACTGTCCACCAAGATTTCCGTCTCTGGCTTATTATGTCTGCAGACTCTCTCTCTTCTTTACCAGGTGAGGAGTATTCCCCTATCAGCACTGGGGAGGGAGGGGGAGACAGTGGTTCTGTGCTAAGTCAGCTCACTCTTTACTCCCCAGCTGTGCTGACTCATCACTGCATGCCTGTTTTCTGGAACCAATCCTTGGAGCTGCACCATGTCTTGATTGACAGCATGGTGCTTGCCCAGCAAGGACGCTATGTACAACCCCCTGCAAGGATGCTGCCCCTTCTGCTCCTGCACAGCCTCCTGTCACACAGGCAGCTCTACGGAAGGAAGCTGCAGGCGCACAGGGGGGGCTGGTGAGGGGCCCCACCTATCCTGCTCAGTCAGTCAGCAAACATAAATTGTTTCCACATTCTGAAAAGAATGAGACATTCATTCTGGGATCCAAAGGGACAAGGGAATATCAAGGAAGGCTTCCCTGAAGACAATAGGATTTCACTTAAAATTGACTTTTTTTGAGGAGTGGGCTGGCGGGAGAAGGGTGATTTTTTTTTTTTTTTGGCCATGCCCTGAAGAGAAGTGCTTAGGGATTACTCCTGGCTCTGCCCTCAGGGATCACTTCTGGTAGTGTTAAGACGACAATATGGGATGCCGGAGATCTAACCCGGTTGCATGGGTGCAAGACAAGCTCCCTACTCAGCAGTACTATCACTCTGGTCTCTATAGTTGGTTTTTAAATCCCTATTTCATGCTCCCCTTCCCAGGACTCAAATGACCCTGACTCGACTCCTTCAGATCCAGGACCAGCTATGGGCCAACCTTAGCAATCCCTATGTTGCTCTGCAGGAGCTGGTTGGTGAGACTTCCCAACTCCCATAAAGTCATTATCCCCCAGGAGAGCCTGGAAAGGGAAGGGGATGGGCACACTGTTACAGGGGCCTGTGGTTTGGGGGGAGACAGGAAAGAGGGGGTGCAAGTGAAGGACTCTAATCTCATTGTCAGCTTTGGTTTTCTATGGGAGCCGTGTGGAAGACGAAAAGGACACAGAGGCCCTACTTAGCCTCACTCAGACCTTCCTGGACCCCAAGAGAGGGAGTGGGGCCCCACTCCACACGCCACAGCATTTGCTGACTGCTCTGATGTTTAGCTCAGGTAAAAGTCGAGCCAGGTGAGTGTGCTGGATGGGGGACAAAGTAGTGTCATGTCTCCCTCACAGGGATGTGAACTGCCACACGGGGTGTGAGAGGGAGCAATGGTCCCCCAGTACTGTTGCCTTGACGTGTCAGAGAAGATGTACCCGTTTGGGTCTGGAGAGGGAGAGTTCATCTGACCTCTGACCCTTCACTTACTCCTCCCCCCAAGAACTGAGGAACCCCGAGGCTCTGGAACAGTGCAAAGCCCAGGTGCATTTGCTGTTCTCAACACCCGAACCCCAGATCTGTGGAGTGAGTAGTGGCACCCGCGCTTGGCTGCTGAGGTGCCAGAGTCGCGTGCTCCTGAGAGATCTCCGGTGGAGCTCAGTTCCTTGGGTTCCTGCATCTCAAGCAGGCTCCCAGCGTGCAGAAAGACGGCTGCGGCAACGGCTGGTACAGGCCCAGCGGAGGCTGGAGTTGCTGCAGGCTCTGCTCTCTACGAGCCCTGTCCGAGAGGAGGCGAACCCTGTGCAGAGGGTGCCAGGGAGCCCACTGCAGCCTCTGGACAACTTCCTGGAAACAGAGGTGCAGGAGCTGAGGCAGCTGGTGGGCCACCTACTACAGGATCTTCACTGCTTGTTGCAGCAGCTGACGGAAGCACACCCCTGCGCTTCCCCGCGCTGTGTTGCGGTGGCCCAGGCTCTCTGGAAAGGCCAGTTCCCCCAGCCTTGGCGGCCCCATGCCCCTGCCGGCCTGCAGCCACCCTGGCACTGGCTGCGACAGCTGTCACGCCAAGGGCAGCTGTTGATCCGCTACATGGAGGGAGGCTCTGAGGTTCCCGTGCGCACCTTTCACCTCTCAGCCTTTAGCCACCCTCGTCGCCTGTTGCTGTCACTGAGCTCTGAGGCCCTCTCTCCTGCTGCGACCTCCAAGAGCCATTATGTGTCCAACCCTGGCGATTCTAACCTCCCAAATTCCACTCCCAAACAGCAGCTCTTGAGACATCAGAGCCTGAACAGCAACGCTCTGCACTTCCAGGTACCAGCCCCTTCTCTTTCTTTCCGATCGTGCCCAAGTCTCTTATTATGCTTGACATCTCCCACACTCCTCCCCAATACCACCCCTCCCCATTCCTGGTGGCCCCTCTGCAATTCCTGCTACTTCTCTGATCCCATCCTAGCACTTTCTAACCCAAACTTTCTAACTCTGCCTGAACAACTTGTGGCACCTGCAGGTGGTGAAAGACCCGAATGCCCCGGCTCCAGAGAAAGGGGTGTTGTTGGTTGGGCTGCAGCTCCAGAATGCAGAATGGGACCCACAAGCTGGGGCCTTGCAGCACAGCACTTCCTGCCAGCCCTGCCCTCTACCTCCAGTCAGAGTCAGCCCCCACAATGGTAATGCCAGTGACCAGGCGCCCAAAATGGGTCTGCCTGTGTACTCTTGTCCTGTGTACTTGGAAGGGTTCCTCGGTGTCACGAACCTGCATAGCCGGAACATCCTGATGCACCTGCCATTGCCCACCAAGCTCTGTCCTGCCACCTGTGCCCAGTGGAGAGTCCATGTGTGCAGCCCACCCCTGCTCTGAACCCATGGTCCAAATACAGGCGGACTGGATTAAAGATTTCTCAGATTTGGAATGTGTGTGTATGTGTGTGGTGGTGGGGGTGGGGCGGGAGGAGGACGGGCAGCGCATGAGCACATGGAAAAGGCAGGGCATGATGACAAATGCACAGAGGAAATAGCTGTGTGACAGAGGTATGTTTCTTCTGAAGGCAAAGGAGATGGGTGTGCCAAACAGCTGGGGAGAGAGAGCTTGGGGCAGTGCTAGAAGGAGTCAGGTCTCCAGTGTTAAGTCATTGATCCAAGGAACTACACAGGTCTCTGAGTTCTGGCGTAACTCTCTACTGTGGTTTCCAGCCCTTGTGCTAAAGGCACAAGGATACTTTTTAGACACAGTAAAAACTCAAATGCTTTCTTTTTAGGGAGGAGCTACTCCATTCCCAGCAGTGCTCAGGGGGCCACCAGGGCTATACCCTGTGGTGCTTAGGGACCCAGGTGGTGCTGGGGATCAAAGTCTAAACCTCACCTGTGCAAGGCATATGCTCTATCACTAAAAGGCATCTAGTGGGGCTATTTGGAAGGCCTTTTACATGCATGAAACCTAGGTTCGATTCCTGGCACCATGAGGTATAAAAAGAAGATCATATCAGGATGTTTGGGAATTTTTTCAGATATGGGAATGCCAAGGGCTAATAATAGCCCTTTTGGGAAATAAAAAAAAAACATTTGGAACTTGCTGTACCAGATAGATTTTAAAAATTCATTGCAATGAAATTAATGAGATGCTGATAGATACATAGACAACGAAAAAAGTATTAGGGTACTCAGAAACAGAACCACACATAAAGAAAAAATAGGGAAGATAACATGACATGCCAGTGAGAAAACTTTTTTTCAATGATTGTTTTGGATTAATTGAATACCTAAATGGAAATAACATTACCTGGTTCCTATTCTTATTTATTTATTTAGTATTTTTTAATGAATTGTCATGAGGTACAGTTACAGACTTAAAAACTTTCATGCTACATTTCAGTCATACAACGATTGAGTACCCATCCCTCCACCAGTGCCCATTTTCCACCACCAATGTTCCCAGTATCCCTCCCATCACCTCACCCCCACCCCGCGTCTCTGTGGCCCTGCCACAGAGAATATTATCATTTTGGGGGAGGAATGGCCATTAAATACACACAAATAGCATTAACTATAAAGGAACTAGACTACATTAAAATTGACAACTTCAGGGACTGGAGCAATAGCACAGTGGGTAGGGCGTTTGCCTTGCATGTGGCTGACCCGGGTTTGATTCCCAGCATCCCATATGGTCCCCTGAGCACCGCCAGGAGGATTAATTCCTGAGTACATGAGCCAGAAGTAACCCCTGTGCAAAGCCGGGTGTGACCCAAAAAGCAAAAATAAATAAATAAATAAATAAAAAATAAATAAAATTGACAACTTTGGTTCATGGATAAAAGAGTGAAAAGGCAAATTAACCACAAAATGGAAACTATAACCAAAGTTATATAGGGAAGAAATGTCATATTACTTCTAAAGTTTCCTTGGATTCTTTCAGCCTTCTAACATGTGTAATCATTTATTTGTATCAAATGTCTTCTATTTGAAATAGAAATTTTCTATTTTTCTAACTGGGCCCTGGTTGATGCATTGAGTAGATATTAAATACTACTTTTAAAAAGGTGAAAGAAGTAAGATTTGTTGACAATGCTTCAAAGAAAACACAAACGCACACATACAACAAAACCAATTCATTCCACAAGAATACTTGCATAATAAGTAACCTGATGTTAAATGAACTTTTCAATTGTCTGAAATCTTTGGATAGGTGAAAAGTGAAGACAACAAGTATAGGTACTGACTCATTCTAAATAAAGGTGCTATGAATCAAAACCCTTGATATTTCATACTACTGAAAATAAATTATAAATCAAAAGAAAAATTCATAGAAAGTGGGAATAGCAAATAGGATGTACTCTAAAGCAATAAATCTTCTCCACACACCAACTGTTCTAATATCTTTCAAGTTAGAAGACTCTCTAGTGGGAATTTTTGGAAGAGAAAACTTTTCCTCCCTGAAAGAAAAAGGAACATCACAGTTCCCTCCCTTCTGGGTCAAAGGAAGAGGGTTCCAACAGAACATTTATAGCCATTTTGTGTTTCCACAACAGAAAGAGACATTATATACATACTAACCAGAAGCAGGCTTTACTCAGAAACTGATCAGACCACTTCTACTGTGGTGACTGAGAAACTTCCTGGGAGAATGTAACATGAATCACTTATGACTGATTGTATGGAATCACATAGATATAAACAACAGCATTTTTTTTTTCACATGGAAAAGTCAGTTAGGCTAATTCCTCCCAGTTAGTGGGAGAAGTTCATTGCTGGCTGGGCTGTCCTCCTCCTGTTTGGCAGTGCAAGTATGCAAGTTTCCGGTAGGATTTGTTGGGGACCCCTCCCTCTCCCTGGCTGACCTTCAGGCCTATGACTGTCAAGTAGAAGCTGAGGAATTAAGGGGGAATATGCTTCACAAAAAGGGAATCAAAGACCTCACCAGTCCCCATGGGAGGCTCCAAAAACACTGCCCCCACCCTCAAGATTTGAATCTAAGTAGAGCACACTGAGGGAGCAAAACTAAAATTTCTCTCCTTTTCTCCCAATTTTCCCATCTCCATCCCAATCCAATAAGTGACTTAGAATACAGATGTGTTTTCTCACCACACTTGAGCTGTAGGAAGAACAGTTTTAATGAGGTGGAGAGCTAGTACAGAGGGTAAGATGCTTTGCCTTGCACATATCTGACCTGGGTTCAATCCCTGACATCCTATATCCTGAGCACGACCAGGAATAATTCCTGAGTGCAAAGCCAGGAGTAACCCCTGAGCACTACTGGGTGTAACCCAAAACAAACAAGAAAACTCAACAAAATTAAACAATAAGAGGTTTTAATTAGATGAGTTGCTAACACACTAATGAGTAATAGGAAGATGTAGGGATGGGGGAAGAAAAACATATTTACAATTAATATTTTAGACTGATTGATACTTTAGACTGGTCTCAGTCAATCTACATGGATCACATTTATTTATACCATAGTATTAACAATGTAGAACCCTTGAAGTTAAAAAGTCAGAGGCTGTGACAATCAGTAGATTTCTAGCAAGTAGGAGGCCCTGCTTAGTTAAGAACACATCATGGGGGTTAATGAGATAGTACAGGGGTTATGCCTTGCAAGAGGCTGATCCTGATTCACATAATCCCTTGAGCACCACTGCCAGTTATGACTCTAAAACAAACCATGAAAAAACAATACATCATCTCATGACCATGAGAATCAAGAGAATCACACAGGATTGGAAAGATAGTGCAGGGGGTAGGGCACTTGCCTTGTATGAGGCTGAATGGGGTTGATTCCCAGCATTCCATTTGGTCTCCCCAAGCCAAGGGCAATTCCTGAGTGCAGAGCCAGGAGTAACTTCTGAGCACTGCCGATGATCCCCCTCCTCTCTCACCCCCCCGAGAAAAAGATCACAGAGAACAAAACATCCTTGAGTTCCATTGTTTGAAATTATATGAGAAGAAAAATCTAATTTAAGACATTCTTTGGAGGAATTTTTTTTAGGGGGGTGGAGGGTAACAATAAAAATATAACCAATAAAATAGCTATTTCAATGTCCTCACGCAAGAATTTTGCTTGTTTGGTTTTGAGGTCATATGTGTTATTCTTGGTGGTGACTGGAGAATCATGTGATACCAGAGATCAAACCTGCAAAGCATGGGCTCTAGTTCATTGAGCTACTTCTCCAATCTCACAGAAGCATTTTTTTTACCAATTAAGATTCAAATAAATAAGACAGATGTGAAGTATTTACTGGTATTTAATAAGATAACTAAATGCTTTATGAACCCCGATGGAAACAAAAAGCATTTTGTAACTAAACAGGATTGAAGGTCGAGTTTCTACCTGCTACCATACAATTGATCCCTTTTATCTTTTTTATAGCCCGTCCTTCACACACACCTGAAAAACAAAAATAAAGAGTAAGGTAGATGCTAAGAGAAGTTATTAAGCATGATATGTTATCTAAACTGGTATTAACACTCCAGAAACTCACTAACGTAACACAGCAGAAGTTTATTTCTTTTTCAAAGTCTGTTGTACATGTTCTGGGCCAAGAAGCTTTCCTTCTAACAGTGACTCAGATGTCCAAAATTCTTCTATGCTGACTCTATCACTTTCCAAATATGTGCTTCGAGGTCACCATGGAAGGCAGAGGAGGAAATGAGAGAATATGATGAAGCACATGTATTTTAAATGACTTGAACTATTAGTGAAACACCACTTCTGACTTTCCAGTGGTGAGGACTCCTCTCCTAACCCCACCCTGATACTGGGATCTAGGAAACGCAGCTTAACTGTATGTTCAGTTTTCCATTGAGTATCTAATCCCTTTCTGCCACATTAGAAAAGGTGGTGCTGGCGTGTGGAGATCTGGAAATGAAGTAGCACAAAGGAAGACCCAGAAATAAAAATGGCTTGGGATGCTTATGGAATGGAAAGATGGCCTACCACAGACATCTCCTGATGAAGAGATGTAGTAGGTGGTTAAGATGTAGTAGGTGGAGAGGGGCAAAGAGTAAGTTTGTCTTCTGTTCTGATGACAATCCGTTGAAGATTTTAAGCAGAGTAGTGACATATTTGATTTATGTTTGCTTGTTTTTGGGTCATACCCAGCTATGTGCAGGGGTTACTCCTGGTTCTGTACTTAGGAATTGTCTGGGTGGTGCTCAGGAGACCATCTGGGATGCTGGAGATGAAACCTGGGTTGACCATGTGCAAGCCAGGTGCCTTCCTCATTGTACTATTCTCTGGCCCTGATTTACACTTTAATAAGAGCACTTGTTTTGGGGGGAAATGAATTGTTTTAAGGCAAGAATGGAAGTAATTAGACCACTGAGGTAGTTACTGATGTAGCTGAATATACAAGAACCTGGTGGTCA